TCCTCCTGAGCCCCCTGCTGTCCACCCCTCCTAGAGCTTGTCCTCTGTCCGTTGTCCAGCTCAGCTTGTCCTCTGGTCCTCTTTGCAGAGGTCGCCCTCTTGTGGCCGTGTTAAGAATGGCTTGAGCCAGGAGCCTGCTTTGCTGCAGAGGGATCCGCCCAAGGCTGGGCCTCCAGTTCCTTCCTAGCTGGAGCCCAAAGGGTGCGAGCTTATGCAGTGACACCACGCAGGTCATCACATGAGCGCTGCATGTCACACCTTTTCCAGAGTGCCTTGCCCTGCGGAGCAATGGGAAAGGGGCAGGGAGCCTGGATCCCTGCACCCACAGGTGCCTGTGGTTTATCCTGATCATTTTCTTCAGCAGTACTCCAGATAGGTGCAGGCACATGGCGAGAGATGCCTGGGTGGCTCTCCTGGTACCTGGGTGGCCTGGGTGGGCCATGGCATGGCTGGGCGTTTCCTGAGAGTGCCATGAGGGGCAGTGCTGCTCTGGCCTGGCTGGTGCCCTCTATGCTATGGGATGGGATCAGTGGCCTCACATCTGAGCCCTGGAGGGCCTGGGTTGCCACACGGGGCTGGTACCAAGTGCCAGGGAAGTCTTGTGCTAGCCCCTCTGGGAACAGACTGCCCACACCAGTGGGACACTGGGCTGAGGACAGAAGGCAGAGCCCTGTACCAGGGTGGAGCTCTCTGATCATGACTCACCAGACTCCTCGGACATGGATGTGTGTCTGATGGGCAGGGTGGCTGCAGGGACTGGATGTTCTCGGGCCTTCCTCAGGTGGGGATGGGCACTGAGAAGGTGGCTCTGAGGTTACCCTGCTCCCATCTGAGGTGGGTTCTCAGAAGCTATTGCGGATGGTGGCTGTGGTGTTTGTTTAGTCCTGGGCATTGGACCCTAGGCCTTCACACAGATATTTCCAGCATTTAAAATAATTTATTTTAACCTTTTTTTTTTTTTGGTACCAGGGATTGAACTCACAACCTTGCGCTTGCCAGGCAGGCACTTAGGCCACTGAGCTATATCCCCTGATCCCTTCTTTTTTTTTTTTTTTTAATTTTTCTTTTTTGTATTTTAACCTTTTGAGGCAGGGTCTCCATTTGCTGTTGTCAAGGCTATGCTTACATTTGCTGCTCCCTGTCTCAGCTTCCCGGAGCACTGGGGTTCCAGGGGTGCACCCTGGTCCAGCCCTTGATATGTGTTCTTGACAACACCCCAAGCTCCTTAGAGAGCTGACCAGGCTGCCTCCTGGCTTCTGGCTTTGTACCTGGTACTGCTAGGGAAAGAGGTGGGTGGTCCCAAGGGTGGACAGGAGGGTCAAGCTGACAGAGTGCCCAGGCAGCTGAGTGCCCTGCCCTTCCCAGGTCCATCACAGATTGGCCTGCAGCAGGAGTGCCTTCTTTCCCTTCTCTCCACTTGGATGAGCTTGATCTCGGGCCAGAGTGGTTGTTGCCTCTTCCAGGAAGCCTCTGGATTGCTGGGCAGCCCCTACTCTCCTCGCCTTAGCGCCTTCTGTTTTCGCTCCTGTGAGTCCTCTGCTGGAGGCCTGTGTTTAAGGTCTGCTGTGGGCCAGCCCGCCCCAGGAGCAGTGAAGTATATGTACCAGGAAGGCAGAGGCAGCCCTGAGCCCTGAAGGTAGGTGAGGCGCTGGCCATCTGGGCATCCCTGGCATCCTTGCTTGGACTGAAAAGCTGAGTTCTCCCCTGGGGGCTGGTCCTGCACTCAAGGATAGTGTCAGTTTTAGGGAAGCTGACCCTTGTCTGTCTGTGTCTGAGAGCTGCCCAGGGCCAGTGTGCCCTGGGGACCCTGGGGCCTGAGGTGTTGCACCAGGACAGGACAGGGATCCATCGACTTTTCATTCAGACAGTGCGAATCTGGCACTGCTGTGGTCAGTGGCCTCAGGTGTAGTCGAGGAGGGCTTCCTGAAGGAAGGGCCAGACCAGCAGAGGCCAAGAGGGTTACTGAAGGGGGTGAGGAAAAGCAGATGAGGGGACTGGGGGAGCCTGGAGCAGTGGCTAGGGCTGGGGTGGGGCTGGTGGTGAGGATGGAGCCGTGCAGGTCCACTGCTAGAAGACCCCAAAGCCCCCACCAACTGTCTCAGGGCTCCAGGGCAATGGTAAGGCTGGCCTGTGGTTGACTCTGGTATAGAGTCAGAGTGGGCAGGGTGAACCCCGGGGCCTTGGCATATGTGGAGCCTCAGTGCGTGCAGCGAAGACACTGGGTCCATTCTGATCACCTCACTGTAAGAACCACGGTGGCCTATGAGGTTGTGGTCTTAAACCCTGCCCGCCTGCCTCTGTCTCCAGGTTTCCCTTCATTTTTCTTTTTTGGGAAGCCACTGGCCAACAGAGCCAAGGTCTGCCTCGCTGCATAAATATTTAGTAGTCAGAAGCACTTTCTTACATGGAAAGCTGGATGTGGGCCCAGGCAGGGGCCTGGGGTGAGGCCGAGCTCTGACTCCCTGAATCCCAGCAGATCTTGCAGCCCTGCACAGCACCCTGTGGGCCTCCTCCGGAAGAGGATGTGCTGTGCTTAGGAGGTGTGTCCTCCTCGGAGCCTCTGGCTGGTTCCTTTCCTCAGGGTTCCGCAGGACTTGCCGGCTGTCCCCAGGCAAGGAGCCTCAAGCCTCAGTCCTGTCTGGACACGGCATAGATGCCAGGGTGGAAAGGGGCAGCCAGGAGCACGAAGGGGACAGGATGGCTGATGGTCTCCCATGGGCAGGGTGGCTAGGGATCCTTCGGGTCCTATCCACAGCTGAACCCTGCCTCCAGGGCTGCCCAGGTGCAGGCATCTGGAGCCTCTGGTGACTCAGCCCGCCCAGGCCAGGTCTGGGCTTGGGCTTTAGGCCTCCATCTGCCCCAGGGAGGGGGCAGTGCCAAGGCCGCCCTGAGACAGTTGCATGTCCCGCAGCTCTTGGCCTCTGCATGTGCAAGCCCATGTGGGAGAGCGTGGCCTTCATGGGCAGGGAATAGGGTGGCCCCCATGTGTGTTCCTGGCCTTGTGCTCCTGGTGACAGCGGCACACAGGCCCCCTCCTGACACATCCACTAGGAATGAATGCTTAGCTCTCTGTCTGCTGACTCACTCTCAGCTGCCTCTGCCCCCCTGGCCCTGCGAGTGCTGAGTTCCATGGAGCCCAGGAACTGGGCAGACCCCAGTGTGTGTGGGTGTTCGAGGCCCACCTGGACACTCAGGTCTTAGGGTCCAGGATGGGGACTCAGGAGATGCTGCTGTCTCTCTTCTGGCCCAGCACCCTGAGTCAGAGCCAGGCAGTGGAGTCCCTGGGAGCTGAGGCAAGCTGGTCAGGCCTGCGGGGGTAGTGGGAGGGAGCCTCTGAGGGGCAGGATGGTGGTCAGGGCCAGGCCGTGGTGGAGCACCCAGCCCGACCTTTCCTCCTACCAGTCCACCCCAGCCTGAGGCATCCAGCACCAGCACCTACTCTGACTCTGAGCCAAGAGGGACCCTGTGCTGAGCAGACACACAGTGTGTGCTGGGGCTGCAGAGGGCCTGGGGATGCACGGCCTCCTGGTGGTGGATGCTGTGCTGGGGAAGGCTATGCCTCCAGCCAAGGAAGGACACAGCACACAGCAGGACCAGAGCTGCAAGGCCCTCCCTCTGCGTGCCATGAGGTGGGCACAGCTGAAAAGGGACCTCTGCAGGGCTCCTTGCATGGCCCAGGGGAGCCTGGGAGCCAGGGCGGCAGCTGGGAACCAGGAGGCAGTTGGTGGTTGGCTCAAGTTTAGACACTCATGTTCGGGAGAACACAGTGGCAGCTTATGTAGGCCCACTTGGGCAGACTGTGGCCCTGGGAGCTGATTGCCTGGCAGAGGTCCTGCAGCCCACGGCTCCTGGAGGCACAGGAGCAGGCCTGGTCCACAGACCCTCACACCACATGGTTGCTTTCTTCTCTGTGACCGTGGGTTTTCACAGCAGCCTGTTTACAACAGGATTAGCAGACCTGCTGGGGTCCTGCTGCTGCTCAGTCCCTCTCCATCCAGGACCATAGGTGCCCTGGGCCTCTTACCCCTCCCTGGCTGTGCCCCCTGGTAGGCCTTGGGCATGGCTGGGCCCTGCTGTTGCCATCCTGGCTTCCACTGCATGGAAAGCCCAGCTCCTCAGCTGCCCTCACCTGGTGTGCTGGACAGCACCATGGGCCCTCGTGTGACCGTTCTCACACTGACTGCCCAAGGCCAACTTGGCCCTCTGTCCTGGAAACTGGGCTGGGCACCCAGCTGTGTGGGCCTGCTGTGGCCTGCCTGCGGATGCAGGTACCACAGCTGCCAGGTCTGCCGCAAGCTGTGGGCACAGGGTACAGCAGTTCCACAGCTGTGGGCCCTGCCCAGGCCTGCCAGGCTCTCAGAGCTAGCAGGGCTGGGAGGGGCAGGCTGGGCAGCAGTGTACTAGATATGGGGATCAGATCTAGGACAGGGAGGTGTTTCCACAGGATAAAGGGCAATGGGCAGTGAGGCTGACATGTATGCTGGCAGATTTTGGGGGGTCAGGCTGCCTTCAGGCCCAACCTATCCTTGGCTTCTTTCCTCGTTTTGAAACAGGGTCTTGCTACATAGTTCAGGCTGGTTGTGATTTCACTGTGTAGCTGGCCTTGAAACTTCAGCTATCTTCCTGCCTCAGTCTCCTGAGTTCTGGGATTACAGGCATGCACTGTAACACCTGGCCCAGTTTGCCCTTGGACAGCACCTCCCTTTTCTTCCCTGCACCCCAGCCAGCATCCTATCCCTGGCACCCACAGGGAAACAGGCCAGGCCTTGGGGGCTCTGCCTCATGTCTGTGTCCGTCCACACTGCAGGATTGTGCGCACAGGCTTGCATAGGCAGGGCAGCGGGTGTGACTCAGAAGGCAGGCGTTTCCTCCCAAGTCAGCTGCCTGTGCTGGGGGGGGCGGGCGGTGAGCTCCTGCTCACTGGCTTGAAGAGGCTGGGCACTGGGGGGCCAACCACTCCCAGCCTATGCGGGAGCTGCCCTGCCCACTCCCTGGAGGAGCTGGGGTCTTGGCAGGGCTCAGCCTTCTGAAGAGGAGAGAGGGACAGTGCGGGGAGGGACTGGGAGGGAAGGAGCTGAGGGAGCCGGAGATGGAGTTGGGCTCTTTGGGGCCAAGCTGGTGTGTGCTAGGCAGCTGCCTGCCCCTGCCCCCTTCAGCCCGGGCACCTGCCCACAGCACTCGCAGGTCAGTGGAGTGGGGTGGCAGCCAGTGGGGGGCAAGTGAGCTGGTGCCAGAGGGCAGCTCCTGCTAACTTGTGCCAAGGCCAGCAGGCTGGGAGGGCGTTGCCAGGGGCTGTCTGGACCCAGAGGCCCTGAGGCAGCCCCTCTTGGCTCCCAGAGCTGCCAACCCCAGGCGAGCGAGGGAGGAGGACCCTGGCTCTGGCAGGTGGTTTGGGGGGAGCCTGGGATATGGGGGCAGTGATGCCAGGGCCTCCACATGGCCCTCTCATCAGTGGGACCCACAGATCCAAGCTGAGCAGAGTGAATCCAGGGACTGGGGGGTCTGGGATTGGGTGGGGTCACAGAGGGCACTTGGGCATGGGCTGTTTTGCTTTTCTGGGGGTGCCAGATGGGGCCATAGCCTGGGGTGGCAGCCTCCACAGAAAGGCTAGGGTTAGTGGGTCCCCCTGGGAGGGGGTAGGGCTGTTCCTGTTGACTGCTGAGCTCCTGGCAGTTGGGCTGGCACACTTACTTCTGCTGTAGTTTCTCCAGTAGGTGGCTGAGGCTCGCTGCTGCCCCTCTGGTCCCAGGCTTTGGGTGCTGATGCAGGGTGGGAGCTCGCCCTGCAGGAGCTTTGGCCGGCTCCTTCCCTGCCCTCCCCCCACTCCTGGCACTAGCATTCATTATGGACCTACTGTTGCCGAGGTCTGAGTTCTGTGTGAGCCAGTGTCCATGGGACTGGGGACCTGGCAGCTTCCTGAAGCCGTGGCAGGATGACCAGATTCAGCAGCTGAGGCTCCATCAACCCCAGGCAGGGGCTTAGGCAGGAGGAGCAGCTTTAGATGGATGATGCCAGGGAGCCACAAAAGGTTGTTTCAGGAGAAGGTGGCAGGAACAGCCTGTGGGTGCGGCCAGGCCTGGTGGGGAATGGTCTTGGTGGGAGAGGAGTCCTATGCCTCCTCAGAGGCCTGGCTGCTCTGGTCCCTCACCCAGTTATCTGTGGAGCCATTGGGAGTGGCTGGGCCAGCCCTCAGCCACCTGGGTGTGCTCTACGGGGTCTGCAGGCCCCGTGACAGCCAGAAGAGCTTGGCACCCTCCTAGGGAAGCTCCAGGCTGGGTGCAGCCTGAGCATCATTCCAGGATCCCAGCCCAGGGAGTGCTGCCTCAGTCTCCCACAGCCAGGCCACCTTTGGGCCCATCCTGGCTGGCACCTGTGTCCTCACATGCCCTGCATCCTGCACCAGGCCACCCCGCTGCCCTGGTGATCTGCAGATCTTGTCCCTAAGCTGGAGGCCAATCTGGACAGTGCTGGGTTTTGCTCCAGCCAGTGGCTCCCTCCTCTTGGCCCTGCTTCAGCACCCCTAGAGGGGGGTGGTGTGTGCAGGCAGAGTTCCTCTTCCACACCCCAGGCCCTCACCCACCTGCCAGGGTACTCAGGACCCATCCTAGAATAGCCCAGCTTGGGGTGCAGTTCATCCCACCCAGCTGGGAGCAGAGGGGTCCTGGGTCCCTCTCAGGGTGCAAGGAGGAGCTTAGTGGTGGCATCTGAGACTGTGTGGAGGGACAGGTGTCTGGGAGGTGCAGGTGCTAGTACAGGACTGCTGGGGCTGGCTCAGGTATGTCACCTTCATGTTGTCTTTGTCAACAGCCAGTGTCACTACTCCAGTGTCAGTGCTAGGCTGTGGACAGAGGGTGTGGTGCAAGGCCTAGTGCTCCTGTAGGGGGCTGGACGGGCAGGACGTCCCCCTTCCTGTGTGTCCCCTAGGCTGAAATCAGCCCTGGGGTACAAAGAGGCCTGGCAGTGCCCCAGCTGTGTGGCCACAGGCCAGCCCCGCCACTCCCTGAGCCCTGTGGGTTGGTGTGGGTAGGGTGGACCTCACTGAGCTGTGGCCAGCCCTCCTCTCCAGGGCATGGGGAGTTGCCATGCAGTCACCCACGGAAGTGGTTCTGTGTGGGGCGGGGCTCTGCTGGGCCTGGAAGTCCCTTCCTTATCTTGGTAGGTGGCTCCCCTGGCCTCAGTGTCTTCCCTTTACCCACCAGGCTCCACACTGGGGGCGGAAAGTGAGTCTCTGGACACAAGAGAGAAGCTGAGCCCCGGAAAGCACGGGGTTGCTTGTGCTGCCCTAGCTTCTAGGAAGGGGAGCTGGCCCAGAGCCCCCACCTGGCCCCCATACCATGCTCTCCCTACCCTTGGGCCCCCACAAAGTCAAGTCAGGTCTGGTGGGGAAGATGTTTTAGGTGCAGAGTGGTGATGGGACCTTGGGGTGCAGGCTGGTGTCTGAGTGTCCAGTGAGGTGGATCACGGGGACAAGGACGCATGGCCGAGGGTGTGCCGGGGTAGAGGCAGGGCTTCCTTTTCTTGCTTGGTTGGGGAACAGAGGCTTGGGGGCAACCAGAGTGCTGGGCACTGACACCTCACCTAGGGTAGGTTTTACAGATGCCTAAATCGACGTTGTGGCTTTCTTGAGGGGTGCTAGGGATCAGGAATGGTAAGCAGGGGGCGAGGTAGGCTTTGATGGCTCCTGGCCTCCTCACAGCCAACCCTGGGGTACCGTCCATCCTGCCAGAGCCAGGTCTGGGTGCAGCCACCTCAGAGGAGGGTAGAGAGGCCTAAGAGGGGTCAGGAACCGTTGGGGCTGCGCCAGTGCAGGGCCCAGCTCAGTGAGCTTGTTTGGGGGTCCAGGAACCCTGGCCAGAGATGCAGCCGGACCCACAGCCGCAGACTGGCTCCCTGACTGCTCAGGGGATGTGTGCAAGGCCACAGCACCCACCAAGGGGCAGGAGGCACCCTGTGGAATGGGGGTGCGCACCCCCATGATATACAGCTTCAGGGGCCTCACTCTGGATGCTGACCATGCATGGGCCCTCGAAGCCTTGAGATCCCCTGGGGGTGGCTTGGGGTTCACCCTCACCCCTGTCACCAGGGAAATTGTTCCTGGAGCCAGGCCTGTGTGTAGAGCTGGCGTCCGATCAGCACTGTTTTTTCTTTGAACGTTTAGTACCAGTCAAGGGTCTGGGGCCTGGAGTCCTGTTTGTAAGGAGGTTCTGTTTTTTCTGTGTTCCAGTAAAATTTTATTCACAGAACCCGAGATGGGCTGGATTGAGGCCCTTTTGATTTACTGACTTCCTGTCTCTTGAGCAGTAAACATAGTACTTGGCGCAGTGAAGGCGCTTAAGAATCAAAAACATCACTTGAAAAACTGGTAGAGCTAAAGGCAGCAAGGGGGTGCGGGTCCTGGTCAGCACCCTCCCTGTAGGCAGGAGAGGCCTCTGCCGCAGGGCAGAGCCGCCGGCCCCACCACGGCCCCCACCCCGGGATGGCTTTTCGTGCCTCAGCAGGATCTGTTCCATACTCCTTCTCCTGGTGCAGCGCGATTTCTTGGTTGGTCTCAGTTTCTAGATTTCTTGGTGTGAAGCTTATCATTCCTGTGTTTGACTTTGTGTAGAATTTTGCAACTGTTATCGGGAAAGATGCAAATCGTGATCCCCTAGTGGCTAGCACCCTGGCTGAGAAGAAGCCAGCCTTTCTCCCCAGGTGCCCCACTTCCCTGGTGCTTCTACCGTGTCCAAAGTGACCCTGGCCATGCAGCCAGGTCAGGGGTCCCAGCTGCCCTGCACCCTCAGCAGCCTTGGGGGGGGGTGCTCCTCGGGAGGCACACTGGGTCCTCCTGTGGCTCTGCACGGTGGCGCCCTTGAGTGCCGCCCCATGTGTCAACTCCCCCTGTGTGCCCTCAATTCCCTTTCCAATGTTTTCTTTCCCATTTTTCTTTGTTTTTTCTTGTGATGTTGGGAGTCAAATTCACAGCCTCGCCCAAGGCCTGCTATATCCTCTGCCCTGCCATTTCCAAGCATCCTCTGGGAGCTGTCCTATAACCGCTGACCCGCAGTGCACCCGTGTTTTCAGGGGTGAGGAGTGGGTGTCTCAGGTGCCCTTCAGAGCCTCTGCCAAGCATGGCCTGTATGCCCAGCATCTCAGTGGGGCTGGGTTTAATCTGCATTTCCTGTGACAAAGCAAGTTGACCACCTTTTCTCATGCTTATTGGCCATTGCCAATAAGCATCTTGCTTTGTGAAATGTCTGTTCAAATCTTTCATTCATTAATTCACTTTCGTTTTTTGAGACAATGTCTTGCCATGTATTCAGGATGGGCTTGAACTCACTATGTAGCCCAGGAAGGCCTTGAATCCTCCTGCCTCAGCCTCCAGAGTGCCGAGATTATAAGTGCACACCACCACACCCAACTTCAAATCTTCAATTTTTTGCTATGGTTTTTCAATTAACATTTTAACACATCAGAGTACTTAATTACATACATGCCGTTCTACCATGGTATGTGTGTCTGTAACATGTACCCTAATACCCCATCTCAAGCTCTGCGGTAGAGTCTTGGGGACGCAGCTTTCTGTGTGAAGCTGGCTGTTCTGTGGGTGAAGTGCGGCATCCTTCTCCCTTCAGTGTGCCTTCCGGGGACACGCGTTCTGTGAGTACTGCGTAGAACTTGATCCGTGGCCCCCTTACCCTCACTCTGACCTTCACACCCTAGCTTGCTCCTGTCTGCTGCTCCCCCTGTTAAATCCTACAGTATTCCTGGGTCATACACCATGCAGCTTCATAGAGGTATTGTTGTACTCTAAGAAAATAGCTTCGTTATATGTGTATTACAGCAAACCTGTAAAGTGGCTTACTAAATGTGTTTTTTTATCCTTTTTCCCTAACTGATATGTTAAGTGACCTAATTGATATGTTGAGCAATACTCTCCTCTGTAAAGAATTGCAAGAATCTCACCTAATTGATATGTTAACCATTGTTGCCCTCTACAAACTACAGAAGTTGTGCTAAAACAAGCTAACAAGGGTTGTTAATCACTGTTAGGCGCCTCTATTCTCCGCTAAAGAGCTAAAGAAAACTAGGATGGCCCATTAACTTACACTTGTTTAAAGTAACCTGCTTGTGTGCAGAGAGATTTGCGTATGAGTTTAACCCTTTACCTGACCTTGACACATAACCGCGGTTTTCTGTTCTGTATGGCGCCTTATTGCCTCCCTCTCCCCTCACCTATCTATCTATCTAGGCCATAAAGAATTTGGGTTTCTGGTGACCTCTTCCCGACCCGGTGATGAGCTGTCATAAAATGAGCCTGCCCCAAATTTTAAGAACTGTTTAGCTTCAAAGAAATTACCGGGAAATACTATGGCCCAAACCCCAATCCGTGCTTTCCTTTTGTTCTGTATGCATCAAATGAGTTAGATATCAGATCTTTGTAAAACTTAAGTTTCAGCTTCTTGTAACTCTTGACCCCTTCGCACCCACTAGCGAAAATGAGCTGTCCTGGGATAATTAACTGTCCACTTTCTTCTCCAAATATTGCTGCAGATGTGCCACTCCGAGATAATGTCAGTCTGCAGGATGGGAGTAATTTGAGAAACACCAGGAACTCCCGAGATTGTCAGAGCTAAGTGGACAGCAATACAGTTTCCAGACTCGGGTCAACAAGTTTGATGGCTCTGCAGGTTTCTTTGTTTCCCCTCCCCTCCCCCGCCTTTTCCTCCAGCCTCTTTTTAAAGTCCTCCCTTCAGTCTCTGGGAGAGAGTCTCCAAATTGGCTCCTGGAGACTGGTCGCCAGGCCTGGAAATAAAGCCTTTGAGACCTAAATTTTCGGTCTCTTGTTTCCTTGGATTTTATACCAGGGCACGAGTTATAACAGTATAACTTGCTCATCCTAAAGCCTGCCCTGCAGTTCAGTCCCTTATAGTAACCTGACTCGGTTTCTGCACCACCACCAGTTGGCCTGGACCCTCGCCCCGTCCTGGGACCGAGACGCCCCACCCTGGGACGTCTGTGTTCACCCCAGCCCTGGCCCCAGGTGAAACAGCCCAATTCCGGTGAGACGCAGCCTTGGATCCTGTGTTATCTCCTGATCTCTCCAGCCACTCCCTTTGCCTCCTCTTGTCACACCTGTGTCATGTCTGCACATGTCACGGTCCCGGTGACATCAGGCTGGCAGTCCTGCCCGAGAAGGGTTTGTGTGAATGGTCGTGCCCCAGCCTGGCTGCCCCTCTGTCCACAAGGCCTGGCACACAGTGGCGTCTACAGTAGGGATTGGGATGCTCTAGGTGGAAAGTTTGCCAGTGGTCACCTTGTGCCCTCTTGTGCCCTTGTGGAAGTCAGAGTGAAGAGGCACAGCCCTGTGTGATGGGCCTTTGAGTGGTCTACCCCAGTGACAGGTCGCTGTCCCAAGGCACAAGGTGTTTCTAGGGTGTCAACACCCTTCACGTCCACCCACCGTGCAGGACCTTTGCAAACATCTTCCATGGACCTGGACTGCGCTGTGCACAGCACCCCTGCACTCCCCGTGCCTATGGGAGTGGTCCTTTGTTTTGAAGGAGTTTGCTGGTGTCACATTCCTGGTGGACACTGTTTCCCTTCAGAGCGTGGCTTCGGCCATGCAGGATATGTGTTTTCCACCAGGTGCTGACGGTGGCGGGCTGGGCCTCGTGGCGAGGCCGGTTCCTTGAGTTTCCTGGTCTTGAGGTTGTTTTCAGGCATTGCTCCTCAGCTGTTTTCTGCCTCTTTCTCTCCTGTTTCAGCTCCGCACAGAGCTCCAGGCTCCTTGTTTTCCTTCAGCCCTGCCCTTCTGATCTTGCGCAGGATTCTTTGTATTAATTCACCAGGCTTCCTTCTTTCTTCTGGCTTCCCAGACCTGCAGGTAGCCCCTTTGTGGAGTGTCAGCTCCAGAACTTGCACCTGACACAGGAGCTGTCTTCCTTCCCCTTCTCTGCCCCTGCCCACTGCCTCCTCTTCTTTCTGTGGTGCTGGGGTTGAACTCAAGGCCTTCACACCAAGCTACTTTTTCAGCCTTTTATTTTTTATTTTGAGATAGAGTCTCTCTCTGTTACTAAGCTGCTCTGTCTGCCTCAGTCTTCCAAGTGCTGAGGTTACAGACGTGCACCACCATGCCCGACCGAGTTCCATTTTGGAATGAGATTCTGTCTTTGTTAGCTATCGTCATCTTCTTTTCCATGAGCTTTTTAGACTCATTTTTACAGCAGGTTGGGGTGGTGGCTCTGAGGTCTCTGAGCCTTCAGACGGGGTCTGGCCGTTCCTGCTCCCTGTGTGGGTCAGGCCCCCTGGTTTCCCTGTGCGCCCTGGAATCTGTCCTTTGATACTGGTGGTCAAGGCGATGAATCACACAACTTCATTCTCCTTTCACTCTGGGTGTGGTTGTTTGTGTGTTGGTTTGGTAACTCCTGGGAATTTATCTGCACAGGCTGCTCCTGTCCTGGCTCCCAGCCCCAGCCCCAGCCACCAGGCTGGCCCACCCCCGCCCTGTGCCGCCCTGCCTCCCCTGCCTATGCCCTGACGCCCCACCTGCATCTCCAGCTGACACCTCTTTCCCTGCAGTGTCCGGCCACCAGCTGCAGCCGGAGGAGCCAGACTTGGAGACAGAAGAGGATGCCTCTGTAAGTTACCCACCCCAGACATCCACCCATCCTCACCTGGTGGAGCCGTAAGGGCTGAAGGTAACTCCCTGTCTCTTCCTGTCAGGTGACTGAGGGGCCTGCAGGGGAGGTCATCCGGCCCCGGCCACAGGGCTCTTCACCCATCTATGAATGCTCGACAGAGGGGGCCGGCCCTGGAGTCCAGGTAAGCCCTTCTGTGTGTGCTCCAAAGCCGTCCTCTCTGGGCATTCACCCTTCTGCTCAGTCAACCCAGTTCCAGGTGGTATGGGATGGGGGTGCCCTGCCCAGCACTGTGTGCACACACCTGTGGGCTTCCTCCAGCTGCATCGGCAGGGATGTGGACAGGGACCTTCCCTTGCCATGCAGGGTGGCAACTCTGCCCGGGGCTGGGTAAGGGTGACGCCCAACCCTTGTGGCTGCAGGACGACATTGCCAGCAGGCAAGGGTCCCTGGGGAGACGGAGATCCTGGTGGAAGCGAGACTCAGGAGACTCGAGGACCTTCTCCAGCATGAGTCGCCCAGAGGTAGGTGTGCAGAGGGCGTGGTGGTGGTGGGGGGGGGAGAAGGCTGAGGATGTGTGGGATTTCAGGGAGCAGACCCTTCCTGAGGATTTGGGGGCACAACCTAGCTGTCCTGCAGTGCACTGGGACAGCCGGGGTCACTAGTGCCCACGCTGCGAGGCAGGAAGGTGCCAAGCTCTGTGGGTGCCTGGCTAGTGCTCACTGCCTCCAGGCCAGGCAGGCTGCACCCAGGGCCTGCGCTTCCCTTGGGGTTTTGTCCCCCTTGGCCCAGGCACTGTGGAACGTGTGGTGAAAGAGGCATTGGTGGTGTACAGGCTGTGTCTGTGTCCCAGCAGGTGGGCGGGGACGAGAGGAGGCAGGTCCCACCTGCAGCTGCCTGCAGCTGGCTTCTTCCAACTTGGCTGGTGTCTCCACTTCTGCCCCGAGCTGCCCAGGTTGACAGGCGGATAGTGAAGCCCCAGTCCTCTGAGGACACGGCCCCAGCAGGGATGCCCACGGCGACTGGCACATGCTTACCTTGGCCCTGATGTGCTTCTGTCCAGCCTGTGCAGGAGGCAACCGAGGTGACACTCAAGACGGAGGTGGAGGCGGGAGCCAGTGGTTACAGCGTCACAGGTGGCGGTGACCAGGGGATCTTTGTCAAGCAAGTACTGAAAGACTCCTCTGCAGCCAAGCTCTTCAGCCTGAGAGAAGGTGTCTGTCACCAGCCAGGGTCTACATCCTTGGCATGGGGTGGGCAGGGACAGGAGCTGGGGAGGCCCCAGGTCTCCACCGAGCTGCTCTGGCTCTCTTGCCCCAGGCTGGGGCCTCTGGTGCCTCTTACCTGAGGTGGAGACTGAGCTGGGGCTCCCTGTTCTCCTCCAGGCGACCAGCTGCTCAGTGCCACCATATTCTTTGATGACATTAAATACGAGGATGCACTCAAGATCCTGCAGTACTCAGAGCCATACAAGGTGCAGTTCCAGATCAAACGGAAGCTGCCTGCCTCCGAGGATAAGGGCGGGGCTCTCCGAAGCTCCCAGCACGAGTCTGTGGCCTCGGGGAAGCAGGTGAGGCCATGCAGGGAGGGGCCTGCATAGCTGCTGTGCACCTCTCTCCATGCCCACCGCACCAACATGTGTCTTTCCCTGTGTTGCAGGAAAAAGATGTTGCAGACGGGTGTGCAGAGACACCCAAGAAGACCCTGGAGGAGGACGGAGACCAGGAGAGACTCATCGCCAAGCCCAGGGAGACCCGAGGCAGAAAGGCTCGGGAAAGACTCTCATGGCCCAAGTTCCAGGGCATGAAGGGCAAGCAGGGACCAGGACCCCGGCGCTCACACAGCTCCTCGGAGGCCCAGGAGCGTGGCAGTGCTCGGGAGCTGTCCCCCACCAGTACAGACACAGAGGTCCAGTGCTCAGGAGATCATGGGGAGCAGAGTGCAGGACGAGACGGACAGAAGAGGAGGAGGAGATTCCCAAGCCTGAGGTTCAGGAAGGGCTCCAGGCAGGACCCACCCATCATGGGGCGCCAGGACAGAGAGGTGCTTGGGGAACCGGACAGCACCAGGAAGCTGGAGGACACATGGGCGGGTGGCACAGAGGCACAAAAGGCCAGACAGGTGTTGACCACGGTGCAGGATGCAGAGCCTAGCTCCCTTGGACACTGGGAAGGGGCCACAGTGAGGCAACAAAGGAAGACAAAGCAGGTTAAGCCCACAGCGGGGGAGACCGCAGGTGAAGAAGCCAGAGCTGGGCCTGCCCTGGATGATGAAAGGGAAGAACCGCAGGGCCTGACAAAAAAGATCACGGCAGTGTCACTCAGGGGCACAGAAAGCACACTGAGACGAACAGAAGAAATCCATGTCAGAATACGCGACTTAAAGACACCTACATTTACATTTCCCAGGGAGAAGGTGCCAGGGACAGAAGACAAGACCTGGCGAAGGGCGGAGGAGAGGAGGGAAACTGCATGGGTAGGCAGGGCAGGAACCCAGGCTGAAGGACAAGCAGAAGCTGACCAACAGGACAAGGAACCGGGAACCTCAGGAGGGATGGGAAGGAGCCAAGAAAGAGAACTTGGGGAGACAGAACTGAGGGGAACACAGCCTGGCCAAGGGGAAGACAGGGACAAGGAGAGGGGAGAACTAAAGACCAAACTGCCCAGGTTCAAAATGCTGGCATTCGGGTGGTCACCAGCAAAGGAGGCAACTAGACACATGAGAAATGATATCAGAGAAAAAGAAGAAATCTCAGGGACACTGGAAACAACTGAGGTGGGGGGCAGGGGACACAAATCAGAAGGGAAGGACCCCAAGGGAGAGCTGGGCGGCCTGCAGCTAGAGGAGGCTCTGCCCAGCATGAATGTGGACGTCCAGGGCGCAGGAAGCAAGCTGGAGGGGGAGGTGGCCACCAAGGACGGCAAGTTCAAGATGCCCAAGTTCAAGATGCCCTCCTTTGGCATGTCGGGACCCGGCAAGTCAATCGAGGCCTCGCTGGAAGTGTCCACACCGAAGGTGGACGCCGAGGTGGCCCTGTCCACCATTCAAGCTGACCTGAAGAGCCCTGAGGCCGGCACACAGCAGCCCTCCACCGACATGGAAATGTCAGCCGGCCAGGTGGCTGTGAAGGTGCCAGAGGTGGAGCTGCCCGCCGCGAGCACGGGTGCCAGCCTGAAAAGCCACCTGCCGAAGGTGCAGATGCCCTGCATCAAGATGCCCAAAGTGGAACTCAAGGGCCCCCAGGTTGATGTGAAGGGCCCCAAGGCGGAAGCGAAGGGCCCCAAGGGTGAGCTGAGCGGCCCCGAGCTGGAGGTGGCGCTGCCTATTGTGGACGTGGACGTCCAGGCCCCTGGCCACAAGCTGGAGGGTGAGGTGTCCACGAAGGACAGCAAGTTGAAAATGCCCAAGTTCAAGATGCCCTCCTTTGGTGTGTCGGCATCCGGCAAGGCCATCGAGGCCTCGTTGGAGGCATCAACACGGAAGCTGGAGGCCGAGGTGGCCCTGCCCGCCATTCAAGGTGACCTGAAGAGCCCTGAGCCCGGCGCTCAGCAGCCCCCCAGCGGTGTGGATTTCCCGGCCGTGCAGGCAGCCGCGAAGCTGCCCGAGGGTGAGCTGCCCTCTGTGAGCACGGGTGCCAGCCTGAAAGGCCACCTTCCCAAGGTGCAGATGCCCAGCCTCAAGATGCCCAAAGTGGAACTCAAGGGCCCCCAGGTTGAGGTGAAGGACCCCAAGGCGGAAGTGAAGGTCCCTAAGGGCGAGCTGAGCGGTCCTGAGCTGGAGGCAGCCGTGCCCAGCGGGGAGGTGGACATCCAGGCCACCGGCGGCAAGCTGGAGGGGGAGGTGGCCACCAAGGACGGCAAGTTCAAGATGCCCAAGTTCAAGATGCCCTCCTTTGGGGTTTCGGCACCCGGCAAGTCCATCGAGGCCTCGCTGGAGGTGTCCGCGTCCAAGCTAGAGGCTGAGGTGGCCCTCCCGGCCATCCAAGGTGACCTGAAGAGGCCTGAGGCACACGCTCAGCTGCCCACCACTGACGTGGAACTGCCGGCCGGTCAGCTGGCTGTGAAGGTGCCCGAGGGCGATCTGGCCGAGGAGGAGATGCCCGCAGCACTCGGGGGTGCCAGCCTGAAAGGCCACCTGCCCAAGGTGCAGATGCCCAGCCTCAAGATGCCTAGCGTGGAACTCAAGGGCCCCCATGTGGACGTTAAAGGCCCCAAGGTGGACGTGAAGGTCCCTAAGACGGAGGTGAAGGGGCCCACGGGTGAGCCGAGCGGCCCCGAGCTGGAGGCGGCACTGCCCAGCATGGAGGTGGACGTCCAGGCCCCAAGTGGCCATCTTGAAGTTGAGGTGGCCGCCAAGGACAGCAAGTTCAAGATGCCCAAGTTCAAGATGCCCTCCTTTGGCATGTCGGGACCCGGCAAGTCAATCGAGGCCTCGCTGGAAGTGTCCACACCGAAGGTGGAGGCCGAGGTGGCCCTGCCCACCATTCAAGCTGACCTGAAGAGCCCTGAGGCCGGCACACAGCAGCCCTCCACCGACGTGGAAATGCCAGCCGGCCAGGTGGCTGTGAAGGTGCCAGAGGTGGAGGTGCCCGCCGCAAGCACGGGTGCCAGCCTGAAAGGCCACCTGCCCAAGGTGCAGATGCCCAGCATCAAGATGCCCAAAGTGGAACTCAAGGGCCCCCAGGTTGATGTGAAGGGCCCCAAGGCGGAAGCGAAGGGCCCCAAGGGTGAGCTGAGCGGCCCCGAGCTGGAGGTGGCGCTGCCTATTGTGGACGTGGACGTCCAGGCCCCTGGCCACAAGCTGGAGGGTGAGGTGTCCACGAAGGACAGCAAGTTGAAAATGCCCAAGTTCAAGATGCCCTCCTTTGGTGTGTCGGCATCCGGCAAGGCCATCGAGGCCTCGTTGGAGGCATCAACACGGAAGCTGGAGGCTGAGGTGGCCCTGCCCGCCATTCAAGGTGACCTGAAGAGCCCTGAGCCCGGCGCTCAGCAGCCCCCCAGCGGTGTGGATTTCCCGGCCGTGCAGGCAGCCGCGAAGCTGCCCGAGGGTGAGCTGCCCTCTGCGAGCACGGGTGCCAGCCTGAAAGGCCACCTTCCCAAGGTGCAGATGCCCAGCCTCAAGATGCCCAAAGTGGAACTCAAGGGCCCCCAGGTTGAGGTGAAGGACCCCAAGGCGGAAGTGAAGGTCCCCAAGGGCGAGCTGAGCGGTCCTGAGCTGGAGGCAGCCGTGCCCAGCGGGGAGGTGGACATCCAGGCCACCGGCGGCAAGCTGGAGGGGGAGGTGGCCACCAAGGACGGCAAGTTCAAGATGCCCAAGTTCAAGATGCCCTCCTTTGGGGTTTCGGCACCCGGCAAGTCCATCGAGGCCTCGCTGGAGGTGTCCGCGTCCAAGCTAGAGGCTGAGGTGGCCCTCCCGGCCATCCAAGGTGACCTGAAGAGGCCTGAGGCACACGCTCAGCTGCCCACCACTGACGTGGAACTGCCGGCCGGTCAGCTGGCTGTGAAGGTGCCCGAGGGCGATCTGGCCGAGGAGGAGATGCCCGCAGCACTCGGGGGTGCCAGCCTGAAAGGCCACCTGCCCAAGGTGCAGATGCCCAGCCTCAAGATGCCTAGCGTGGAACTCAAGGGCCCCCATGTGGACGTTAAAGGCCCCAAGGTGGACGTGAAGGTCCCTAAGACGGAGGTGAAGGGGCCCATGGGTGAGCCGAGCGGCCCCGAGCTGGAGGCGGCACTGCCCAGCATGGAGGTGGACGTCCAGGCCCCAAGTGGCCATCTTGAAGTTGAGGTGGCCGCCAAGGACAGCAAGTTCAAGATGCCCAAGTTCAAGATGCCCTCCTTTGGCATGTCGGGACCCGGCAAGTCAATCGAGGCCTCGCTGGAAGTGTCCACACCGAAGGTGGAGGCCGAGGTGGCCCTGCCCACCATTCAAGGTGACCTGAAGAGCCCTGAGGCCGGCACACAGCAGCCCTCCACCGACGCGGAAATGCCAGCCGGCCAGGTGGCTGTGAAGGTGCCAGAGGTGGAGGTGCCCGCCGCGAGCACGGGTGCCAGCCTGAAAGGCCACCTGCCCAAGGTGCAGATGCCCAGCATCAAGATGCCCAAAGTGGAACTCAAGGGCCCCCAGGTTGATGTGAAGGGCCCCAAGGCGGAAGCGAAGGGCCCCAAGGGTGAGCTGAGCGGCCCCGAGCTGGAGGTGGCGCTGCCTATTGTGGACGTGGACGTCCAGGCCCCTGGCCACAAGCTGGAGGGTGAGGTGTCCACGAAGGACAGCAAGTTGAAAATGCCCAAGTTCAAGATGCCCTCCTTTGGTGTGTCGGCATCCGGCAAGGCCATCGAGGCCTCGTTGGAGGCATCAACACGGAAGCTGGAGGCCGAGGTGGCCCTGCCCGCCATTCAAGGTGACCTGAAGAGCCCTGAGCCCGGCGCTCAGCAGCCCCCCAGCGGTGTGGATTTCCCGGCCGTGCAGGCAGCCGCGAAGCTGCCCGAGGGTGAGCTGCCCTCTGTGAGCACGGGTGCCAGCCTGAAAGGCCACCTTCCCAAGGTGCAGATGCCCAGCCTCAAGATGCCCAAAGTGGAACTCAAGGGCCCCCAGGTTGAGGTGAAGGACCCCAAGGCGGAAGTGAAGGTCCCCAAGGGCGAGCTGAGCGGTCCTGAGCTGGAGGCAGCCGTGCCCAGCGGGGAGGTGGACATCCAGGCCACCGGCGGCAAGCTGGAGGGGGAGGTGGCCACCAAGGACGGCAAGTTCAAGATGCCCAAGTTCAAGATGCCCTCCTTTGGGGTTTCGGCACCCGGCAAGTCCATCGAGGCCTCGCTGGAGGTGTCCGCGTCCAAGCTAGAGGCTGAGGTGGCCCTCCCGGCCATCCAAGGTGACCTGAAGAGGCCTGAGGCACACGCTCAGCTGCCCACCACTGACGTGGAACTGCCGGCCGGTCAGCTGGCTGTGAAGGTGCCCGAGGGCGATCTGGCCGAGGAGGAGATGCCCGCAGCACTCGGGGGTGCCAGCCTGAAAGGCCACCTGCCCAAGGTGCAGATGCCCAGCCTCAAGATGCCTAGCGTGGAACTCAAGGGCCCCCATGTGGACGTTAAAGGCCCCAAGGTGGACGTGAAGGTCCCTAAGACGGAGGTGAAGGGGCCCACGGGTGAGCCGAGCGGCCCCGAGCTGGAGGCGGCACTGCCCAGCATGGAGGTGGACGTCCAGGCCCCAAGTGGCCATCTTGAAGTTGAGGTGGCCGCCAAGGACAGCAAGTTCAAGATGCCCAAGTTCAAGATGCCCTCCTTTGGCATGTCGGGACCCGGCAAGTCAATCGAGGCCTCGCTGGAAGTGTCCACACCGAAGGTGGAGGCCGAGGTGGCCCTGCCCACCATTCAAGGTGACCTGAAGAGCCCTGAGGCCGGCACACAGCAGCCCTCCACCGACGTGGAAATGCCAGCCGGCCAGGTGGCTGTGAAGGTGCCAGAGGTGGAGGTGCCCGCCGCGAGCACGGGTGCCAGCCTGAAAGGCCACCTGCCCAAGGTGCAGATGCCCAGCATCAAGATGCCCAAAGTGGAACTCAAGGGCCCCCAGGTTGATGTGAAGGGCCCCAAGGCGGAAGCGAAGGGCCCCAAGGGTGAGCTGAGCGGCCCCGAGCTGGAGGTGGCGCTGCCTATTGTGGACGTGGACGTCCAGGCCCCTGGCCACAAGCTGGAGGGTGAGGTGTCCACGAAGGACAGCAAGTTGAAAATGCCCAAGTTCAAGATGCCCTCCTTTGGTGTGTCGGCATCCGGCAAGGCCATCGAGGCCTCGTTGGAGGCATCAACACGGAAGCTGGAGGCCGAGGTGGCCCTGCCCGCCATTCAAGGTGACCTGAAGAGCCCTGAGCCCGGCGCTCAGCAGCCCCCCAGCGGTGTGGATTTCCCGGCCGTGCAGGCAGCCGCGAAGCTGCCCGAGGGTGAGCTGCCCTCTGCGAGCACGGGTGCCAGCCTGAAAGGCCACCTTCCCAAGATGCCCAGCCTCAAGATGCCCAAAGTGGAACTCAAGGGCCCCCAGGTTGAGGTGAAGGACCCCAAGGCGGAAGTGAAGGTCCCCAAGGGCGAGCTGAGCGGTCCTGAGCTGGAGGCAGCCGTGCCCAGCGGGGAGGTGGACATCCAGGCCACCGGCGGCAAGCTGGAGGGGGAGGTGGCCACCAAGGACGGCAAGTTCAAGATGCCCAAGTTCAAGATGCCCTCCTTTGGGGTTTCGGCACCCGGCAAGTCCATCGAGGCCTCGCTGGAGGTGTCCGCGTCCAAGCTAGAGGCTGAGGTGGCCCTCCCGGCCATCCAAGGTGACCTGAAGAGGCCTGAGGCACACGCTCAGCTGCCCACCACTGACGTGGAACTGCCGGCCGGTCAGCTGGCTGTGAAGGTGCCCAAGGGCGATCTGGCCGAGGAGGAGATGCCCGCAGCACTCGGGGGTGCCAGCCTGAAAGGCCACCTGCCCAAGGTGCAGATGCCCAGCCTCAAGATGCCTAGCGTGGAACTCAAGGGCCCCCATGTGGACGTTAAAGGCCCCAAGGTGGACGTGAAGGTCCCTAAGACGGAGGTGAAGGGGCCCACGGGTGAGCCGAGCGGCCCCGAGCTGGAGGCGGCACTGCCCAGCATGGAGGTGGACGTCCAGGCCCCAAGTGGCCAGCTTGAAGTTGAGGTGGCCGCCAAGGACAGCAAGTTCAAGATGCCCAAGTTCAAGATGCCCTCCTTTGGCATGTCGGGACCCGGCAAGTCAATCGAGGCCTCGCTGGAAGTGTCCACACCGAAGGTGGAGGCCGAGGTGGCCCTGCCCACCATTCAAGGTGACCTGAAGAGCCCTGAGGCCGGCACACAGCAGCCCTCCACCGACGTGGAAATGCCAGCCGGCCAGGTGGCTGTGAAGGTGCCAGAGGTGGAGGTGCCCGCCGCAAGCACGGGTGCCAGCCTGAAAGGCCACCTGCCCAAGGTGCAGATGCCCAGCATCAAGATGCCCAAAGTGGAACTCAAGGGCCCCCAGGTTGATGTGAAGGGCCCCAAGGCGGAAGCGAAGGGCCCCAAGGGTGAGCTGAGCGGCCCCGAGCTGGAGGTGGCGCTGCCTATTGTGGACGTGGACGTCCAGGCCCCTGGCCACAAGCTGGAGGGTGAGGTGTCCACGAAGGACAGCAAGTTGAAAATGCCCAAGTTCAAGATGCCCTCCTTTGGTGTGTCGGCATCCGGCAAGGCCATCGAGGCCTCGTTGGAGGCATCAACACGGAAGCTGGAGGCTGAGGTGGCCCTGCCCGCCATTCAAGGTGACCTGAAGAGCCCTGAGCCCGGCGCTCAGCAGCCCCCCAGCGGTGTGGATTTCCCGGCCGTGCAGGCAGCCGCGAAGCTGCCCGAGGGTGAGCTGCCCTCTGCGAGCACGGGTGCCAGCCTGAAAGGCCACCTTCCCAAGATGCCCAGCCTCAAGATGCCCAAAGTGGAACTCAAGGGCCCCCAGGTTGAGGTGAAGGACCCCAAGGCGGAAGTGAAGGTCCCCAAGGGCGAGCTGAGCGGTCCTGAGCTGGAGGCAGCCGTGCCCAGCGGGGAGGTGGACATCCAGGCCACCGGCGGCAAGCTGGAGGGGGAGGTGGCCACCAAGGACGGCAAGTTCAAGATGCCCAAGTTCAAGATGCCCTCCTTTGGGGTTTCGGCACCCGGCAAGTCCATCGAGGCCTCGCTGGAGGTGTCCGCGTCCAAGCTAGAGGCTGAGGTGGCCCTCCCGGCCATCCAAGGTGACCTGAAGAGGCCTGAGGCACACGCTCAGCTGCCCACCACTGACGTGGAACTGCCGGCCGGTCAGCTGGCTGTGAAGGTGCCCGAGGGCGATCTGGCCGAGGAGGAGATGCCCGCAGCACTCGGGGGTGCCAGCCTGAAAGGCCACCTGCCCAAGGTGCAGATGCCCAGCCTCAAGATGCCTAGCGTGGAACTCAAGGGCCCCCATGTGGACGTTAAAGGCCCCAAGGTGGACGTGAAGGTCCCTAAGACGGAGGTGAAGGGGCCCACGGGTGAGCCGAGCGGCCCCGAGCTGGAGGCGGCACTGCCCAGCATGGAGGTGGACGTCCAGGCCCCAAGTGGCCATCTTGAAGTTGAGGTGGCCGCCAAGGACAGCAAGTTCAAGATGCCCAAGTTCAAGATGCCCTCCTTTGGCATGTCGGGACCCGGCAAGTCAATCGAGGCCTCGCTGGAAGTGTCCACACCGAAGGTGGAGGCCGAGGTGGCCCTGCCCACCATTCAAGGTGACCTGAAGAGCCCTGAGGCCGGCACACAGCAGCCCTCCACCGACGTGGAAATGCCAGCCGGCCAGGTGGCTGTGAAGGTGCCAGAGGTGGAGGTGCCCGCCGCGAGCACGGGTGCCAGCCTGAAAGGCCACCTGCCCAAGGTGCAGATGCCCAGCATCAAGATGCCCAAAGTGGAACTCAAGGGCCCCCAGGTTGATGTGAAGGGCCCCAAGGCGGAAGCGAAGGGCCCCAAGGGTGAGCTGAGCGGCCCCGAGCTGGAGGTGGCGCTGCCTATTGTGGACGTGGACGTCCAGGCCCCTGGCCACAAGCTGGAGGGTGAGGTGTCCACGAAGGACAGCAAGTTGAAAATGCCCAAGTTCAAGATGCCCTCCTTTGGTGTGTCGGCATCCGGCAAGGCCATCGAGGCCTCGTTGGAGGCATCAACACGGAAGCTGGAGGCCGAGGTGGCCCTGCCCGCCATTCAAGGTGACCTGAAGAGCCCTGAGCCCGGCGCTCAGCAGCCCCCCAGCGGTGTGGATTTCCCGGCCGTGCAGGCAGCCGCGAAGCTGCCCGAGGGTGAGCTGCCCTCTGCGAGCACGGGTGCCAGCCTGAAAGGCCACCTTCCCAAGATGCCCAGCCTCAAGATGCCCAAAGTGGAACTCAAGGGCCCCCAGGTTGAGGTGAAGGACCCCAAGGCGGAAGTGAAGGTCCCCAAGGGCGAGCTGAGCGGTCCTGAGCTGGAGGCAGCCGTGCCCAGCGGGGAGGTGGACATCCAGGCCACCGGCGGCAAGCTGGAGGGGGAGGTGGCCACCAAGGACGGCAAGTTCAAGATGCCCAAGTTCAAGATGCCCTCCTTTGGGGTTTCGGCACCCGGCAAGTCCATCGAGGCCTCGCTGGAGGTGTCCGCGTCCAAGCTAGAGGCTGAGGTGGCCCTCCCGGCCATCCAAGGTGACCTGAAGAGGCCTGAGGCACACGCTCAGCTGCCCACCACTGACGTGGAACTGCCGGCCGGTCAGCTGGCTGTGAAGGTGCCCAAGGGCGATCTGGCCGAGGAGGAGATGCCCGCAGCACTCGGGGGTGCCAGCCTGAAAGGCCACCTGCCCAAGGTGCAGATGCCCAGCCTCAAGATGCCTAGCGTGGAACTCAAGGGCCCCCATGTGGACGTTAAAGGCCCCAAGGTGGACGTGAAGGTCCCTAAGACGGAGGTGAAGGGGCCCACGGGTGAGCCGAGCGGCCCCGAGCTGGAGGCGGCACTGCCCAGCATGGAGGTGGACGTCCAGGCCCCAAGTGGCCAGCTTGAAGTTGAGGTGGCCGCCAAGGACAGCAAGTTCAAGATGCCCAAGTTCAAGATGCCCTCCTTTGGCATGTCGGGACCCGGCAAGTCAATCGAGGCCTCGCTGGAAGTGTCCACACCGAAGGTGGAGGCCGAGGTGGCCCTGCCCACCATTCAAGGTGACCTGAAGAGCCCTGAGGCCGGCACACAGCAGCCCTCCACCGACGTGGAAATGCCAGCCGGCCAGGTGGCTGTGAAGGTGCCAGAGGTGGAGGTGCCCGCCGCAAGCACGGGTGCCAGCCTGAAAGGCCACCTGCCCAAGGTGCAGATGCCCAGCATCAAGATGCCCAAAGTGGAACTCAAGGGCCCCCAGGTTGATGTGAAGGGCCCCAAGGCGGAAGCGAAGGGCCCCAAGGGTGAGCTGAGCGGCCCCGAGCTGGAGGTGGCGCTGCCTATTGTGGACGTGGACGTCCAGGCCCCTGGCCACAAGCTGGAGGGTGAGGTGTCCACGAAGGACAGCAAGTTGAAAATGCCCAAGTTCAAGATGCCCTCCTTTGGTGTGTCGGCATCCGGCAAGGCCATCGAGGCCTCGTTGGAGGCATCAACACGGAAGCTGGAGGCTGAGGTGGCCCTGCCCGCCATTCAAGGTGACCTGAAGAGCCCTGAGCCCGGCGCTCAGCAGCCCCCCAGCGGTGTGGATTTCCCGGCCGTGCAGGCAGCCGCGAAGCTGCCCGAGGGTGAGCTGCCCTCTGCGAGCACGGGTGCCAGCCTGAAAGGCCACCTTCCCAAGATGCCCAGCCTCAAGATGCCCAAAGTGGAACTCAAGGGCCCCCAGGTTGAGGTGAAGGACCCCAAGGCGGAAGTGAAGGTCCCCAAGGGCGAGCTGAGCGGTCCTGAGCTGGAGGCAGCCGTGCCCAGCGGGGAGGTGGACATCCAGGCCACCGGCGGCAAGCTGGAGGGGGAGGTGGCCACCAAGGACGGCAAGTTCAAGATGCCCAAGTTCAAGATGCCCTCCTTTGGGGTTTCGGCACCCGGCAAGTCCATCGAGGCCTCGCTGGAGGTGTCCGCGTCCAAGCTAGAGGCTGAGGTGGCCCTCCCGGCCATCCAAGGTGACCTGAAGAGGCCTGAGGCACACGCTCAGCTGCCCACCACTGACGTGGAACTGCCGGCCGGTCAGCTGGCTGTGAAGGTGCCCGAGGGCGATCTGGCCGAGGAGGAGATGCCCGCAGCACTCGGGGGTGCCAGCCTGAAAGGCCACCTGCCCAAGGTGCAGATGCCCAGCCTCAAGATGCCTAGCGTGGAACTCAAGGGCCCCCATGTGGACGTTAAAGGCCCCAAGGTGGACGTGAAGGTCCCTAAGACGGAGGTGAAGGGGCCCACGGGTGAGCCGAGCGGCCCCGAGCTGGAGGCGGCACTGCCCAGCATGGAGGTGGACGTCCAGGCCCCAAGTGGCCATCTTGAAGTTGAGGTGGCCGCCAAGGACAGCAAGTTCAAGATGCCCAAGTTCAAGATGCCCTCCTTTGGCATGTCGGGACCCGGCAAGTCAATCGAGGCCTCGCTGGAAGTGTCCACACCGAAGGTGGAGGCCGAGGTGGCCCTGCCCACCATTCAAGCTGACCTGAAGAGCCCTGAGGCCGGCACACAGCAGCCCTCCACCGACGTGGAAATGCCAGCCGGCCAGGTGGCTGTGAAGGTGCCAGAGGTGGAGGTGCCCGCCGCAAGCACGGGTGCCAGCCTGAAAGGCCACCTGCCCAAGGTGCAGATGCCCAGCATCAAGATGCCCAAAGTGGAACTCAAGGGCCCCCAGGTTGATGTGAAGGGCCCCAAGGCGGAAGCGAAGGGCCCCAAGGGTGAGCTGAGCGGCCCCGAGCTGGAGGTGGCGCTGCCTATTGTGGACGTGGACGTCCAGGCCCCTGGCCACAAGCTGGAGGGTGAGGTGTCCACGAAGGACAGCAAGTTGAAAATGCCCAAGTTCAAGATGCCCTCCTTTGGTGTGTCGGCATCCGGCAAGGCCATCGAGGCCTCGTTGGAGGCATCAACACGGAAGCTGGAGGCTGAGGTGGCCCTGCCCGCCATTCAAGGTGACCTGAAGAGCCCTGAGCCCGGCGCTCAGCAGCCCCCCAGCGGTGTGGATTTCCCGGCCGTGCAGGCAGCCGCGAAGCTGCCCGAGGGTGAGCTGCCCTCTGCGAGCACGGGTGCCAGCCTGAAAGGCCACCTTCCCAAGGTGCAGATGCCCAGCCTCAAGATGCCCAAAGTGGAACTCAAGGGCCCCCAGGTTGAGGTGAAGGACCCCAAGGCGGAAGTGAAGGTCCCCAAGGGCGAGCTGAGCAGTCCTGAGCTGGAGGCAGCCGTGCCCAGCGGGGAGGTGGACATCCAGGCCACCGGCGGCAAGCTGGAGGGGGAGGTGGCCACCAAGGACGGCAAGTTCAAGATGCCCAAGTTCAAGATGCCCTCCTTTGGGGTTTCGGCACCCGGCAAGTCCATCGAGGCCTCGCTGGAGGTGTCCGCGTCCAAGCTAGAGGCTGAGGTGGCCCTCCCGGCCATCCAAGGTGACCTGAAGAGGCCTGAGGCACACGCTCAGCTGCCCACCACTGACGTGGAACTGCCGGCCGGTCAGCTGGCTGTGAAGGTGCCCGAGGGCGATCTGGCCGAGGAGGAGATGCCCGCAGCACTCGGGGGTGCCAGCCTGAAAGGCCACCTGCCCAAGGTGCAGATGCCCAGCCTCAAGATGCCTAGCGTGGAACTCAAGGGCCCCCATGTGGACGTTAAAGGCCCCAAGGTGGACGTGAAGGTCCCTAAGACGGAGGTGAAGGGGCCCACGGGTGAGCCGAGCGGCCCCGAGCTGGAGGCGGCACTGCCCAGCATGGAGGTGGACGTCCAGGCCCCAAGTGGCCAGCTTGAAGTTGAGGTGGCCGCCAAGGACAGCAAGTTCAAGATGCCCAAGTTCAAGATGCCCTCCTTTGGCATGTCGGGACCCGGCAAGTCAATCGAGGCCTCGCTGGAAGTGTCCACACCGAAGGTGGAGGCCGAGGTGGCCCTGCCCACCATTCAAGCTGACCTGAAGAGCCCTGAGGCCGGCACACAGCAGCCCTCCACCGACGTGGAAATGCCAGCCGGCCAGGTGGCTGTGAAGGTGCCAGAGGTGGAGGTGCCCGCCGCAAGCACGGGTGCCAGCCTGAAAGGCCACCTGCCCAAGGTGCAGATGCCCAGCATCAAGATGCCCAAAGTGGAACTCAAGGGCCCCCAGGTTGATGTGAAGGGCCCCAAGGCGGAAGCGAAGGGCCCCAAGGGTGAGCTGAGCGGCCCCGAGCTGGAGGTGGCGCTGCCTATTGTGGACGTGGACGTCCAGGCCCCTGGCCACAAGCTGGAGGGTGAGGTGTCCACGAAGGACAGCAAGTTGAAAATGCCCAAGTTCAAGATGCCCTCCTTTGGTGTGTCGGCATCCGGCAAGGCCATCGAGGCCTCGTTGGAGGCATCAACACGGAAGCTGGAGGCCGAGGTGGCCCTGCCCGCCATTCAAGGTGACCTGAAGAGCCCTGAGCCCGGCGCTCAGCAGCCCCCCAGCGGTGTGGATTTCCCGGCCGTGCAGGCAGCCGCGAAGCTGCCCGAGGGTGAGCTGCCCTCTGCGAGCACGGGTGCCAGCCTGAAAGGCCACCTTCCCAAGATGCCCAGCCTCAAGATGCCCAAAGTGGAACTCAAGGGCCCCCAGGTTGAGGTGAAGGACCCCAAGGCGGAAGTGAAGGTCCCCAAGGGCGAGCTGAGCGGTCCTGAGCTGGAGGCAGCCGTGCCCAGCGGGGAGGTGGACATCCAGGCCACCGGCGGCAAGCTGGAGGGGGAGGTGGCCACCAAGGACGGCAAGTTCAAGATGCCCAAGTTCAAGATGCCCTCCTTTGGGGTTTCGGCACCCGGCAAGTCCATCGAGGCCTCGCTGGAGGTGTCCGCGTCCAAGCTAGAGGCTGAGGTGGCCCTCCCGGCCATCCAAGGTGACCTGAAGAGGCCTGAGGCACACGCTCAGCTGCCCACCACTGACGTGGAACTGCCGGCCGGTCAGCTGGCTGTGAAGGTGCCCGAGGGCGATCTGGCCGAGGAGGAGATGCCCGCAGCACTCGGGGGTGCCAGCCTGAAAGGCCACCTGCCCAAGGTGCAGATGCCCAGCCTCAAGATGCCTAGCGTGGAACTCAAGGGCCCCCATGTGGACGTTAAAGGCCCCAAGGTGGACGTGAAGGTCCCTAAGACGGAGGTGAAGGGGCCCACGGGTGAGCCGAGCGGCCCCGAGCTGGAGGCGGCACTGCCCAGCATGGAGGTGGACGTCCAGGCCCCAAGTGGCCATCTTGAAGTTGAGGTGGCCGCCAAGGACAGCAAGTTCAAGATGCCCAAGTTCAAGATGCCCTCCTTTGGCATGTCGGGACCCGGCAAGTCAATCGAGGCCTCGCTGGAAGTGTCCACACCGAAGGTGGAGGCCGAGGTGGCCCTGCCCACCATTCAAGCTGACCTGAAGAGCCCTGAGGCCGGCACACAGCAGCCCTCCACCGACGTGGAAATGCCAGCCGGCCAGGTGGCTGTGAAGGTGCCAGAGGTGGAGGTGCCCGCCGCAAGCACGGGTGCCAGCCTGAAAGGCCACCTGCCCAAGGTGCAGATGCCCAGCATCAAGATGCCCAAAGTGGAACTCAAGGGCCCCCAGGTTGATGTGAAGGGCCCCAAGGCGGAAGCGAAGGGCCCCAAGGGTGAGCTGAGCGGCCCCGAGCTGGAGGTGGCGCTGCCTATTGTGGACGTGGACGTCCAGGCCCCTGGCCACAAGCTGGAGGGTGAGGTGTCCACGAAGGACAGCAAGTTGAAAATGCCCAAGTTCAAGATGCCCTCCTTTGGCATGTCGGGACCTGGCAAGTCAATCGAGGCCTCGCTGGAATTGTCCACACCGAAGTTGGAAGCCGAGGTGGCCCTGTCCACCATTCAAGGTGACCTGAAGAGCCCTGAGACTGGCGCTCAGCTTCCCTCTGCTGATGTTGACCTGCATTCTGGCCAGTCGGCCGTGAAGCTGCCTGAAGCCGCCCTCCCGGTGTCAGAGCTGCTCCCTTCTGATGGTGGCACTGAGAATGCTGTCTTCTCTGGTGGTGTTACAGGATCCTCTGTTGTTCTTCCTTTGATGAGTGAGACTCTCACCCAGTTCCATGGTCCTGCGCTTTCTCCTCCACAACATGGTGCTCCACAACATGGTGCTTCCGAATCCTTATCTGTGGCTCCCTATGTGGCGCTGTGGTCCTCTGGGTTTCCCCAGTCTGAGGAGCCTCCTCCAGCCCACCCCAGTGGCCACCCAACCCCTCCTCTGTCCCCTCCCACTGTGACTTTCCCTAAATTCCACAAACCACGCTTCATGGTTTCTGTCCCGCTCACAGTGGTTCCTGAGGGAGACTCTGGCATTGCTGTCCAGGGTGCAGTCCTGCCCCATGGCCAGGCCCCAGGGCAGGATGCCTTGGCTCCTGAAGTGCATGTGTCCCACCTGACAGGCTTCCCAGTGGCACCTGGGGCTGCACCTATGTCCGAGATCATAGAGCAGCCTCTGAGCCTGTCTGTAGGAGCTGCCGTTGCAGAAGGTCCTGAGGGGGAGTGGGCTGGGAGTCCCTCCAAACGCAATCGCTTTAAGTTGCCGTTGTTCAGCCGGTCACCTAAGAAGGAGGCCAAGTCAGCAGGGGACAGCTTGTGCCACCTGGAGGACCCCTCAGGTAGCCTAACTGTGGATCTGGATCATGAAGACTCCCAACCTGGGGTTCAGGGCTCCCACATGGAGGCACACATAGCCCTGCCTCCAGGGAAGGAAGGAGACTCAGAGAGAACCAGAAAGGTTGGCTTCAGCCTCCCAAGGCTGGCCCTTCCCAAACTAAAGGTGTCCAAGGGTCGCGCTGGCCCAAGGCCCCAGGGCGACATAGATACTGTGCTTTCTAGCAGCACAGCTGCAGGTGACTGTGAAGCCACAGGAAGGGGTGGACGCAAGGATGGTATGGGCAGCACCAGCCTTCCTGAAAGACCCCACGAAGCAGGGCATGTGGCCCCCCAGCTGCCACAGACCCCCATGCCCAGTGTGGGTTTTGCCAAACCCGCTTTCCAGTCTGCTCCAGCCAAGGAAGGGGCACGCTGGTGTGAGCCTGATCCCAGGCAAGACCCGGGAGTGGGAGAGGACAGCAAAGGGTCTGGGCTCGGCGACATCTTGGGGAGGCAGCCTCCCAGGGAGGGGACAGCCCCCACCCCCAAAGACACCCTGAAGCCATCCCCAGGATATGCAGACCGAGGCCCTGCCCTGGACAGCCCAGAGGAGGCCCCCACCACAGTGGTACCAGCAGCCGATTCGAAAGAACATTGGTCCAGAATGCCCAGGCTCCACGTGCCTGGCTTCGGGGGGTCTCTATCCAAGCAGTGCAGTGGGGCCAGGGAGCAAAATGTGGCTCAGGTGCACATGCTGGCAGCTACTGCACCAGCAGAGATGGCAGCAGCCAGCAGTGTCCTGGAGTCCTCTGCTCCACGGTCAGAGGTGGAGGCCAGTGTGTCCCTGCAGCCCTCAAACACGAAGGCCGTGGTAACAGGTTCTGGAAGTGCATCCCACCCAGATGTTCTGAGGCTTGATCTCCATGCCCCCACTGTGGGGAAGCCTGGAGTGGACCAGCCCCACTCTGAGGTCCAGATTCGCCCAGCAGAAGGCTCCCTGCCTCTGCAGAAGCCCAGCTCGTGGCCTCCAGAGCCCCAGACCCCTGCAGCAGAGAGGTGTGACCTCACCAAGGAAGATGAGAGGGTGGAGTTGCGGCCCTCCCTGCCAGAAGGGCCTGTGATGCTGAGGGTGTCCAGCACTGATGTGCCATCCCAGGTCTCCGTGGTAGACATGCGGCAGCTCTGGGAAGACTCTGTGCTCACTGTCACGTTCCCCAAGCTCAGAGCACCCAGGTTCTCCTTCCCGGCCCCTGGTTCAGAGGCAGATGTCTTCTTTCCTGTGGTGAGGGATGTGCGGGGAGCAGGGCCAGGTGTGGACCCAGGGCCTGGGCTCTGGGATGCCAGTCTCCTGAGTGCAGGGCCCGACTGCCTCTCGAAAGCCTCCCCAGTGTCCAAGGTGAAGGTGCACATCCAGGCGGAGCAGGGTGCGAGTCACCAAGTTGTGGTGTGCAGCCAGGTGACTCGAGAGCATGCCGAGCGCGTGGTCCCCGAGGCCTTTTCCTCCCAGATCGTGCGGGAATCGGAAATCCCCACGTCCACGGTCCAGACACCTTCTTACGGATTTTCTTTGCTGAAGGTGAAGACCCTAGGGCCTCCTGCTCAGGCTCCAGATCCCAGGGGACAGGAGAGCTCTGCTGCCACCAGAGCAGACTCCCTCTCTGAGGATGGTGCCCCTGAAGCTGCAGAGCCATTTGAGGTGATCTCGGCCAGTGCCAGCCTTCCTGGGCCGCGGACGCTTGGGTCTGACATTCCTGCCAGGCCCCCACCTGCAGACAGCGGCTCTGAAGATGACGAAGAGCCTGCAGAAATCCTTGAGTTTCTTCCTGAGGACAGCGGAGAGGCCGCAGCACCACCGGCAGCTGAAAACAGAGTTCTGAAAGGAAGGCCAGAGGGAAAAAAGCCTTCGGGTGTGTTCTGGTCCTGGCTTCCAAGTATTGGGTTCTCCTCCTCTGTCAGTGAGACCACTGCCGACTCCAGAGAAGATGCCCAAAGATCTGTTCCTGTCCAGACCCAGCCGGCGCCTCGGCCAGACTTGGAACTGCCTAAGAAACAGGAGAGGGTGGGCTGGTTTCGGTTGCCCAAATTAGGGTTCTCATCATCACCTGCCAAGAACGCGAAAAGCATAGAGGATGAGGCGGGTCTGGCTGAGCGCACACTCCAGGAAGAAAGTGTCACCTTCTTTGATGCCCAGGAAAGCTTCTCCCCTGAGGAGAAGGAGGGTGAGCCAGCTGGGAGCACACCAGGTGCCATAGGCATGGTGGCGTCCTTGGCGAGAACGGAGTTGATCTTGCTGGAGCCACAGGCTCCCACCAGTGAGGAATCTGTACCCGGGCCCACGAGCAAATGAAAGCTGGACAGGTGCAATGCTAAACAGCACCTGGGCACCTGCAAGGAGCTCCTTGTCCTGGCCCCACACAACACCCTGATTCACAGAGCTGGATGAAGCAGTGGCCAGCAGCCCCTCACATTGTCCTAGACAGAACCTAAATGCTGGGCTTTGGAGGCACCCAGACTACTCCCTGGTGCACACCTTGGTGTCCACATGTTCTGCTGCTCAAGTGGGCTCACCCTAGAACCCAAAACCAGAACCCAGCTGTGTACACGCTATACCAGCCCAGGTGGAGCTGGCTCAGCAGCCCCCTGATGACAATAAAGGAAAAGTTGTATCCTTGGTAAAGGCTGCCGAGTTCTTCTGTTCTGGGGGGCCAAACTCCCCTCGCCCGCTTTCCCCCACATATGCCTGGGCCTTGTCACCACTGGGTCGCTGTAGAAGCCAGAGTCCAGGGCATGTCCCAGAGTAACTGCCCCTTCTCATTTGTGTATCCAGGGACCATGAGGGGGATGTGGAAAAGCCAGGGCTTGAGCTCACAGCAGGCAGGAGACACTGTCACAAACACACCCTCCAGGCAGCAGGGAGGCGGTTCTGGGCCAGAAGACCACATACTGGCAGGGGCAGCAGACAGCAGGGCGCTCGGCTGTGTCATTGGCCTGATCTTGATCTGTGCTTCACAGCTGCCCTGGCCACAGTGGCCACCTTCTGGGCAGCCCTGGGAGGCAAGTCCACTGGGGCTGCAGGGAAGGAAAGTCTCTGCATCACCCCTGCTGCCCATGGATGCCCTCCAGGCCCAGAGCTGGTCTGCTCATCCTGAAGGGGAGAGCTGCTAGTCTGTGACTACCTGCATGGCCCTGAGAGGGCCCAGAGCACACCAGAGCATAGGCTAGGTTCGTCCCCATGCCACTGTGGGCCACCATGTCTCCCTGTGGCTGATTGGATGGGAAAGATCTGGAAAGGGAGAGTCCAGGGCTACTGCATGCCCCACTCTGCCCGCCATGTGTCCAGGCTTTTTGGGCACATAGCAGGGTTCTGTCCATCTCCAGGCTGGGCTCTGTGGGTAATACTTGAGTGGCAGGGCCCCTTGGGGTTTTGGGGGCCTCACTTCCCTGCACAAGTCCTCCATGCTGTGTGCTTGGGGGCCTCTCCTCAAGGCCACCAGGGACAGACTGTCAGGAGGACCATGGATGCTCGTATGTCAGGTGACATCCTAGTTCCTTTGTGTTGGGACCAGCTGACAAGTTGGGAGTGGGCCTGCCCACTGGGGACGCAGTTCCAGGAGCTGGGGACCCTGCGGGATGGGGTAAATCTAGCTTCCCTGGCCACACACTCTTCAGGGCTCTATAAGCCAGGCGGGGTAGGCTGGGCTCAGCTGTGAGACACTGAGGTCCAAGACATGCTTTAGATGGGCAAATGGAGGGATGCCATGCAGGCAGAGAAACCATGCCCTCTCTCCCCAGAGCAGGACCTGAGAGAGCAGGAAGAGGTGCCCAGGACTGCAGAGGACAGCACCCTGGCGTCCATGGCACCCAGTACCCTTTGCAGCACTAAGAGGGGCTCCAGCAGAGTGGCCTCAAAGCCTGGCCAGAGCTGTCAAGCCTGGAGCAGACACCCACAGCAGAAGCAGGGCTCAGTTGGGGCTGGATCTCACCAGTGAGAGACCCTCTCCTGCAGCTGAAATCCATGCCCTCTGCACCCCTGGGTACTCCTGACTGGGTTCTGCCACTAAGCCTGCCCTGCCCCCACAGCTCTGTGCCATCCCTGAAAGTCCTGCCCACAGCCCTGGGCCACTGCCGCATGAGATCTCGAACCCACAAACTCAGAGCCCTGTCCATGCACACCACGCCCACTTATTCAGGCCCACCCATGGCCCACAGCCCCAGGTCATTCATACCAGTGCCCACAGACCACACCCACTCCCCAGATCTACCTACAACCCACCCCCTCAAAGCCCCGCCCACAGCCCTTCCCAGCCCTGCACCGCTCTGTGCTGGAGCTGCATGAGTGGGGTTGGCCCTGGTGCCCTTCATCCTCACGTGTGCCTGCAGCACCAGACCCACTGCTCTTGCCCCCAGAAGCCTGTGAGCCGAAATTCTGGATCCAGGCCAGGCACTGGGAGAGTGGGCAACACACAGGTTGTCACTGGTGCCACCCTCCCACTTGGTCTAGAGTGGGTGAAACTGCAGGCTAGAGTGGGTGAAACTCAGTGAGTTTGTGGCCGACCTTCTCCAGCCCAAGTGACCATGGACAGGAAGTCCCTGCTGGACTCACATTGGACAGCCTCACTTGTGGGCCCAGATTGCAGCTCTGGGGTGTCAGAGCTGGGGCATCCTGAGGGCTCCCCAAAGAGCGCATGCATTTGGGACCCAGGAGAGCTGGTCACGAGGCAGCTGCAGAGCTTCAGCTGGACATGGAGGGAGGGCTGAGACATGTTCAGCCTGGAGGCAGAGGCAAGTGTGTCCCTGTGTGACGGGGCTAAGAAAATGACCACAAGTGCTGACCTTGACCCGAGCCACGCCTCAGGCCAGAAGCGTCTCTTATTAGGGCTGCAGCTTGACAGTGACCAGGACCATGATCCACACCTGGGGCCATGGCCCTTGCAGTGAGTGGGGGTACTCCGCTGGGCCCCTCTCTACTCTATGGTCTTCTTCCCCAGTACCTGTGGGCATCCCCAGGCCCACTTAGCCACATGAGATTGGAGCGGCCCTGGAGCTGTAAGTCAGAGCTGCAGAACCTGCCCTCGCCTGACGTGCAGTGCTCAGGCCGAGCACAGCTGTTTTGCTTTCACAGCTCTGCCCCTGACCTGCACCTGAAGGGCAGCAGCCTTTGCGGAGGGCTGTGGGCCAGGGCCAGGGCTGGCCTCAGCCCTGCCAAACACAGTCCTGGCCCAGCGTGTGTCCGTCTAGGCCCACGGCATATTGGGAGTGCCAGTCCCGCTCGAAGAGCTGCCGCAGCTGCTCCTGCACAGGGGGCTGCCCGGGCTGGGCTGGGGCCAGCTGCTGGTGGACCACCAGGCCAACCCCCGCGGTGGTGCTGAAGTAGTCTTCTGACCAGTTGGAGGTGCCTGGGGAGGTATGCGGAAAAGACACTGGGTCCCTGGGCACAGGCCCCTGCAGCCTGGCCCCACTGCAGCTTCCATGGATCTGGAGGCCACCAGGGAGATGCAGGAGGCCTCCAGCTGTGTCATATCAGCATGGGTGTCCTGACTTAGCCTCCTGGACCCCGTACTCAGGATTTCCTCCCCTGCGCCCCTGGAGCCTGATGATAGCTGGGCTGGTCACTGGGTCCCTCTAATGCCCCTGGAGGCCCTGTCCAGCTTAGTAGCTCCTGCCTGGTACCCACAGGTGCCCAGCCACTCACCTATATAGGCCGCCTTCTCCGTGACCATGTACTTGCTGTGGCTCACCCGGCTAAATGGGATGCTGGAGTGATTCCCCACAGGCACGATGAACACTTTCTTCCAGGGCAGAGCAGGAGTGACACGTCAGACCTGGGCTGGAAGGGAAGGGTCCACTCCCCCTGCCCACCTGACTCGGTCCTCACCACATCCACTGAGATGCCGGCTGTGGGGTTGCTGAAGGCCTGCAGTGATCGCAGGTATGGGAATGTGGTAGGGTCAGTGTGCAGCCAGCAGCTGACCAGCAGGCGTACACGCACGCCTTGGTTGAAGGCGGCCTCCCGCAGTGCGTTGTCCAGCACTGGCCAGTACCTGGAGGAGCAGGGGTGCAGCAGCAGAGGAGGAGCTTGCCCAGGGACTGTGTGGCCTCCACCCTCCAGGGTGCACCTCCCGCCCGTCCCACCTGGCAGGGCGGCTGAAGCGAGTGGTGGGAAAGTACTCCATCACCGAGATGCAGATGAACTCCCGAGCGTCTGCCATCACCGCCAGCACTGTGTCCAGGTCCCGGGTGCGGCCGTGAGGACAGAGCGCTGGAGGCGAAGCCTGTGATGGGAAGTGTCATCCTTGAAGGCACCATGGCTGGCTCCCACCTGTCCCTGGGCGTCCAGGAGCAGAGGCCCCACCACATGCCTTCAAGAGGCCCGGTCTTGGGGGGTGGTGTTGGGGGCAGAGATGGCATCTAGGAAGGAGGAGTCTCTACAGGATGCAGGGCCACCAGGTACTGGAGGGGCCTCCTGGCATTTGAGCTAGACTGACTATCCCCAGCTGTCCCTGCCCTGGAAAGTCACTCACTCTCTCCAGAGTGGGACCTCATGTGCGGGGTGTCCCTATTCTGAGGCGGAGTCTGCCACGGGCCAGTTGCTGGATAACGGAGGCCCTGGGGCATCCACTTCTTCCCAAAGAATAAGATGTGCTCGATGCCTCCTGCTACCCCAGAGCCAGCACCTCTCAACCCCTGCTTGCCTCAGTGCCCTGTCCCCAGGCTTCCAAATGTCTGCCTCCTGCTGAGCGCACCTCCCCGGCCCTTCCCAGAGCTGAGCTGTGTCTCTGATCAGCCCTGGCCCTGCCCTCACTCTGGGCACACAGCCTCATGACACCCTAAGACCAAGTAACTGCTGTGGGCATTCAGGTTGGGGCCCTCCGTAGTGCCTCACCGAGAAGTAGGCAGTGGTGGGTACCCCATCGAAGAGGCCTCTGAAGGGCAAGAAGCGATTGATGTGGGATGAGAAGTTCTGGGGCCAGGTCTTGGGGAGAACAGCGTGGGGTGCTCCCAGCACCCAGTAGGTCTGGAAAGTTTTCTCCAGGTCCTGGGCCAGGCTGCTGCAGTTGTAGATGATGGCACCCAGCTCCTTCACCTGTGGGGACCAGGATCAGCTGTGGCAGCACCATCTGCAGGGCTCTGTGACGGGGGCCACGCCGGGGTGGGAGAGGACACAGGACTCCTGGGGTCCTTGTTGATCCCACACACTGGGTTCACAGCAGTACTTGATTATTACCCAGCAACAGAAAACCCATAAAGACAAGGGAAGGAAAAACGTTCTCGACTGCATTGTGCAGCCTTGGTCACGGTCACCATGGCTACCTTCTGCAACACGTTTTGTGGTGGTGGGCTTTGCACATGTTAAGTGCACGCTCCAGCACTAGGCTGCACCCCAGTCCTGTGCCAGGTGTTTAGCTCATTGCTCCTTGAAAACAGGTGTATGCTTTGTAATCCACGTGTGTTCCTAAGTGTCCCTAAGTGTGAGTTGGGCCCCTGGGCACGTCTTTAAATGTCACCCCATGCTATGGGTGCAGGGCTGTGTAAAATCTCATAACCAAGGAACCAGGAACCAGTCTGGTTCATTCTACTGCAGGACAACATGACCTCCGGTTCCACTCACTGACTTTCTGGACCCCAGCTTTCTCAGTGCAGCAGGGAAAGGCCCTGGCAATGAGGCTCCTAGGACTCGCCTGTGTCAGCGACCGCCAGTCCATGTTGGCACTGCCCACGTAGACATGCCGCCCATCCACGACCCAGAACTTGGAGTGCAGGACACCCCCGGTTAACTGCTGCATGGGCACTTGTCGGACCTGGGCACCTGGTAGGGTGAAGGGCAGGAGACTGTGTGGGCAGCAGCTCAGGGCAGGCTTCGTGCCGAGCTGGATTCTGAGCTCCTTGCCACTGAGCCAACTCAGTTATCTTCAGACCTCCTTGCTGTGCGGGTGCCTTTAGGGTCTGAGGGGACCAAGGCCTGGGCTGGCCAGGGGCCCTCTGGGAGCTTATGGGGAGCTTATGTGTCACTGACCCTGTCTGCCCTGATCTTCCCAGGCTTCCATACATGGCCCCTGTGGTGAGAGACCCTCTGTACTGCTTGGCATCTGCCCGGAGCCCCACAGAGTCCCTGGAAGGACCCCAGAGACACAGGGCTAGTCCTCTCTACCCTGCCCCAGCCATTCTGCTGCCCTTGCCTGTCCTATGATGCCAGCAAGATGCTAGCAGGGCCTGGGTGCACAGACACCTACCGTGGGCTGCCAGTACCCGAAGGTCTGTGGAGTTCCTGGCTGGTGCAGTGCCACTGGTGGCCACAGCCAGTGAGATGTTCCTGGCCAGCAGTTGCTGCATCTTCTGCAGAAGGGCCTCACCCTGCAAGGCTGGCAGCCATAAGAGGCAGCTCCCAGGTACCTCTGCCCCAGGACATCCCTGCCCTATGCCCTCCTCTGGCCCCTGGCTCAGGCAGGACACAGGCTCAGGCAGGTGTCCAGACAACCCCTGACCAGGAGCTTAACTGAACCCTGAGGGCTGTGCCCCAACACCCGTGCCCAGGAGCCCCTGCTGGGCTGACCCAAGCAGGAGGCTGGTATGGACAGGTGGCTGACTTCCTGCATGCCCAATGCAGCCTGCAGCCTTAGAGTTGGAGGTGGGAGCTAGGGACGCACCGGCTGAGAGGATGAGTCATTGACCCCGATGTCAGATCCTGTGAGGGACCAGTAGTAGGAGGCCACGTGGATGCTCTCCTGTGCAGTGTCCAGCAGCTGCAGCCAGGCCTGGGCCAGGGACTGGGCTGAGGGGCTGCCAGCGGCATAGGGCAAGTCTTGGGGGAGGCTCTCAGCAAGCACAAGTCTGTAGTACAGAGGGCCGAAGGGGGGCCTGTGACCGCAGGGCCACCAGCTGGCCTTCCCAGCCTGTTCCGCCTGCTGCCCAGCAGAGGGACTGTCACCATGCAGTCGTGTGGCCTGAGCCCACAGGGCGAGTGGGTAGCCATACCAACAGGGCAAGGCAGATCTGAGCCTAGGAGTCCAGAGGGAGTGACCTGAGGAGCTCATCTGCTGCAAGGAGCTCTCTCGTGGCTGAGGGAAGGTCGAGGTTCTGGGTCCAGGATCCCATGGACGGCCAGGAAGGGAAAGAGGAGGTCTGGGGTAGTGGCTTGGTGGGAAGACTACAACGGTACCTGGCATGCCTGGTGGTGGGCAGCGCTCACCAGCCTTTACCACAACTCGAGTGGCAGCTCTGGTTCATACTCCAAGTCTGCACCACTCCCAGACCCAACTCCAGCCGGGCAGCCCAGACCCCCCTGACCTAGGTCACCTACGGGTGCTGGCGGAAGGTGGTACCTGACACGAGTGGCAGACAGCACCCTACATGCCCCGCAGCCCCACCTTCACTCACTGGCAGGAGTCCTTCTGTGGCTGGGCCTCCCAGGACCCAAGTGGCTCTTCCTCAGAGTGTGGCAGGCAGCAGGCAGGAGGAGGGGACACTTGCGCCAGGCGGTAGGTGAAAGTCACAATGCCCAGCCCCAGCAAGGCCAGCAGCCCCAACACCTGCCGAGATAGTATCACATGGATCCAGAGGCCCAGCCACAGTGGGCTGGGCCTGGAGTACAGAGAGCTGCAGCCCTCAGGTGGGGCAACTGGCCACTCCGAGGACCCACAGCAGAGGGACACAGGTAGGTCTGCAGTGCCCCCCCGGGATGGGCCCGGCTTTGTCTTCTCTACTGCAGCCCAGGCACTTGCAAGCTCACAAAAACACCAAGTTTTAAAAATCATAGCAATCAGGACTTGAGCCAGAACTTCCTCTGACCCAAGTTCACAGATCCCGTCCAGGCCCACACCTACCGAGCCGGCTCTGCCCATTGGGCCGTGGAATGATGCGGAACGGGGCTGCCCTGGGGCTTCAGCTGCTCTGTGTGGAGGAGTTGGCATCTGTGGGGGGTGAGGGTCACTGGTGGCTCCTACCCACAGCGTCACCCCTCCCTGTGGGGCCCACCTGCAATGCACCCTAGGTGTGGACCCAGTCCCCGGCTCCATCTGCAAACTCCAGGCAAGCCATAGCCTGTAGGGCCATACCTTGCCCACCCTGGGCCCCTCGCCTCTCGTGCCCTGAGGCGGTGTCAACAGAAGGAATCTCAGTTCCTCATTCTAACTGTGACTTGAAGCTGTCTGAAAGTCCTGGTTCTGCTTTTGGTGCTCGGTGCTTCCCACTGGTTGCAGTTGGCAACTTCTTCCCTTCCGGCCTGGCCCGCTCTGGCCCATTAGCAGGAGCTGTCTGGGCAGCAAGGCAGCGGGAGGATGTGGAGTCCAGACTGGACATGCTGCTGGGGTTGGACTTCCTCTGTGGCCAGCAGGGATGGGCTCTCTTGTCTCCGCTCCAAGGCCCTTACCAGGAGCTGGGAGCCAGGCCAGCTTGGCCTCCCAGTGGCCCTACAGCCCAGAGCTTTATCATAGAGCAGGTGTTCTGGGTCTCCTGAGGTCCTCCCCTGAGGCACAGGGAAGGGCCATGGGTTGTCTGGCTGGCCAGGCCCCACTTCCTAGCTGGGACCCACAGGCCCCTTAGGCTATGTGGTCAGACTGTGACTCAAGCCTGCAGGCCTCTGGGTGACCCCCGTTGTCCTTCCTGTGGGGATGCTGGCTGACCCTAGCTATGGAGGGGTGAGCTGGGGACCCCTCTGATTTGCGACACTGAGCCTCCAGGCCCCAGATGGGCAGATATGGGACCCTGTGGACAGCTGAAGTAATGGCCAGTGGTGCCAATGATGTCCCTGGCCTGCAGAGTTTGGGGCCTGGCTTTCTGTCCCAGGCTAAGGCAGCTGGCATGGTTGTCAGCTCGCTGGAGACACTGATGCCCCTAGAGTCTTAGCTGCATAGATTGGGTACAGATGGGCACTGCAGGGCCAGCTGGAGGCTTAGTGAGCCCTAGGCTATGGGAGGATTGGCTGTGGGGGTAGAGAGGGGCCCCTTCCAACTCTCCCATCTACCCCTGGCTGGCCGGTACGTACCTTTGGGGGCCCTGCCCTGGTGTCCATGCTGGCTCCAGACAGACTGCAGACTCTCCACACGCAGGTGGCTCCTGCCAGCTCTTCAGCTGCTGCTTCCCCTTTCAGCTTCTTCCTCTTCAGCCTGTGTCCCCACCCCCGCCCGAGACAGACAGCGGACAGGAACCTGGAGGGCAGGGCTGAGCAAAACTCCTCCAGAGAAAACCCGCCTCCCTCAGAGGGTGCCCTGCTGTCCCCGGCTCACTTGACTTCTGGCCAGGGACCGATCAACTGCAGCCTAATGAAATGGCTGATCTCTCCGATATGGTTTAGGTCTGGGTGTCCCCCAAGGCCTCAGGTGCTCGTAGGTGAGCCTTGGGAAGTGACTGGATCACGTAGCTCACAGCTGACTGCTCTTAGGAGGTGGGGTCTGGTGGGAAGAGGTGGCTACTGGGGTGCTGCCTGGAAGGCTGCCTCTCTGATCTTCCCTTTCTCTCTGCTTCCTGACCTCCATGCTGTGAGCAGCTCTCCTCGGCCACGTCCCTGTGCCATGCATGCTGTGCCGTCCTGACTTGGAGCCAGCTGACCATGGGCCAAAACCTTCCAATTCAAGAACTGAATTAACACTCTCCATCCTTAATCTGTGGATGTTTGGTGTTGCCCAGCAACTAAGGGAGTAAGATACACTGAGCATGTCCAGAGGCTGCTGGTGTAGACATGGCATTAGTACCACAGCCATAGGGAGCTAGTCCCTCTGGTTCTCAGTCCCCAAACCCTGAGATTCCTAGCTTCATGTCCCAGCGATGGCTGCCAGAGCTCAGTCATTGCTTCCAGGTCCCATAGCATATTTCCAGTAGGCTGTGATCTAGAACTTGCTCTGGGCTTGATCACAAGGCTACCTCTAGCTATAGGAAGGCTCCGGGGGCAGCCAGGACTTTGTGTTGGGGATGCAGATGGGGCTGTTCACTGGCCACTGGGAAAGCAGCCCGACTGGAGGTGTCCAGTGAGGGCTCTGCCTCAGCTTCAGGGGATGACACCTTGGCAGCAGCGCCTGCTTGTACCTGGTCACCAGCTGGACATAGGGCTCTGTCCAAGGTGCTGACCTTGGTGTGGCCTCAGGGAGGAACAAGAAGTGCCAGGTAGTGGCATTCCTGAGGCCATTTCCTAGGGCCAGAAGATGAGGAAGTGAGCCCAAACCTCCGCCTCCTGTTGACCTGGCCAGGCTCTGTTCTCCCTTGCATACGCAGCTGCTCCCACAGGCTGGGTGCGTGGGGACCCCGTGTGTGAGGCACCAGTGGCCGTAGCAGGAAAGGACCTGGCTGCAGCAGTACACGGAGCCTCTCTCCTCCTCGAGGACAGCTGTGCCGCACGGAGCTGCACCTACTTCCTTCCCCACCAAGCCCCAGCCAGGGCTGGGCACGGGCAGACTTGCTGCATCACAGACACAGGCTTGGGAACATGTGGGCAGGAGTTGGGTCTGCGTGAGAGGGGATGCAGCTCAGTCACCTGGTGCAGGGACTGGAAGTGCAGCTGAGCCCCCCAGGGCGGTGCAACCAGCTGCCATCCCCTGCAGCAGGCCTGAGCCTGGCACTGGGACCCCTTGGGAGGGGGTGAGGGATTTTGCAGGGTTTTGGGGAAAGGAAATGTTCTTGTCTTCAATTTTCTCTCTACTTCCAAAATGTCTTTGTAAAGGGAATTAAATACCTTGTTATTTGTCTACAGGGTGAAGGGGCATTTTCACCCCAAATGAGGGTCAGCTTACCAAGCCTCTGATCCTGGACTAGTCAAGCCACCATTGCAGTGGTTACTGAGTGTCACCCAACACTGAGGACGAGGTGTGTCAGGTGTGTGCATTGCAGAGAGCCCACAGCCAGCCTGGGGTGGCCTGCACACACCCCTGCAGCCGGAAGCCACTTCTGATGCTGTTTCTGGGTCTGCTGCCCCAGGGAGAACGGCACTGAACTCCGTGCAGAGGCTGGGTGAGGACAGCCTGAGGCTCAGCAACGGTTTGTGTCGGGCGCTGCTCGCATAACCCATTTGCTAGTTTAAAGTAAGTTGGAGGAGTTCATTCTACGATTATGTTGAAAAGCAGAGAATAGTAAACACCGAAACCCGAGGCACACATGTGACAACTTTCTTTCTCTCTCTTATCTTTAGCAGGACGGGGATTGGATCCAGGGCTTCATCCCCCCTCTATGTATTTATTTTATTTTGATACTCGATCTTACCAAGTCACTAAATTGCCCAGGCTGGGCTTGAACTTGCACTTCTGCCTCCGCCCCTCCACCCCTAGGATTACGGGTGTGCGCCCCACTCCCGGCTTTTCAGCTGCCTCCACCCTGACACGCCCTCCAGCGCTGTCCTGCTGTGTGTTGGGGTGGGCGTGGCTCCTGCACTGCCCCAGTTTCTCTTCCTCGTGCTGCCGCAGCCACTGCGTTTTCTTCCTTCTCTTCAGCTCTCAGCTCCTTGTTTTGGATATCGCATGTTCTTTTCCCTTTAAAATCCATGATTTTGTGCATACAAAATAACACAAAGACAGATGTGATAATGACACAGCAGTGAAGCCAGCACCCAGCTTATGTCCAGGCCAGACACGTCCTTGACCATCGCCACTGTCAGGTCCCTGCAATGCAGCTCTGAAACCCGTGCTGTCCATCCCTCGGACTTTGCTGCTGCACCCTGGCCTCCTTCTGGCTAGCACCAGAAGCCTAGTGGTGCTGTGCCTTTCCTCTGAGCAGTATCACCTGCCTCCTCATGCAGACGCCTGCGGCTGACCTGCCCACTAGAAACCCAGACAGGGTTCTGACAGTCAGAGAAAGCACGGTATGATTGTGGTTGTTTTGAGGCAGGATTAGTTGAGTCTGGCTTTGAACTCATGGTGATCCTCCTGCCTCAGCCTCCAGAGTGCTGGGATTGCAGGCATGCACCCTCAACCAATGGTTATTAAATTAAATGAGCTCACTGGGCTTGTTTCAGGGGACCCCCTTTGGATCCAGAGTGTGGTTTTTTCCTACCTTACCAAAGCCTTCACCACAGATGGATGGTTCTCAACCATAGGCACTGCTTTAGTAAACACTGCCACCTTTCCCAAAATAGTTGGATCACTGTTACCCCCATCAGCTGATCCCAGGACTCTGGTTTTAGCTGTAGCTTTCTGGGAGGATGCTTGGAGCTTATGGGTGTTCTCATTTGCATTTGATCTGGCAAAGACTCATGGTGAGCCTCTTCTATCTAGCTACTGGGTCACTGGGATTAACGTCTTGGAAAGTACCCGTTGGGGTCCCTGGCCTGGATTTTCCTCAGGTTTGTGACTTGACACAGGATCTTCGATCCCGCCAGAGTAGAAATGAGGTCACCGCACCTGTTGAACACACAGGCAAGGCTCTGGGCTTCAGTTGGAGACAAGTAGTGTGGCTGAGGCGCCGCTGCCCTTGGAGGAGAGGCAGAATCAGGGTTAGACCAAAGTCCAGTGACACTCGCTGCTGGGGCCACCGCCTCAAAAGATGTTTCCTTTGTGCAGGATCCAGCCACTGAACAGCTTGTTCTAGGACAGCTGAGCTCTTTAGGCTAGCACCAGAAGCCTGGCCTCGTGGTTGGATTGGGGACCTTGGATGGAGCCAAAGGCCTCTGTGTTAGTGGGCTGCTGCAGCAGTGAAAGGAGTGGGCATCGGGAAGAGGGCAGGGAGCCGGGTTCAGCTCAGTGGAGCTCTGGCCCCACATGTGTGAAGCCCTGGGAGAAAGACCAACAGATGGACACTCACTCACCCCAGCAGCTGAGAGGAATCGGATACAAACGACAGCAACATCGAGCCTGTCATCTCTGTCCTGTCACCCACCAGAAGACCCCAGTGAAAGGCCAGCGCTTCAGCACAAGTGGCCTTCAGGTCCCTGAGGAGCAGCCCAGGCAGCTGTCACTGTGACCACAGCTCGGAAGTCTCTGCAGCAAAGCCCAGGAGTGGCGAAGGTTGGACCCGCTGCGTGGCCTCCACCGAGGGAAGAGTAGAGGGGCTCTCAGGCCCCCAGGACTCCGGAGCCTCCTTAGGCTCTGTGGGGAAGAGCGCAGGGCAGCAGCCCCTGTCTGCCATGTGTAACGGGGGGCCTTGGCTGTCTCAGGCTTTTTAACTGACTTGAAATAGTTATATTTTGAAGACAAATTACTTGTTGGCTCTAAGTAGAGCTAATATATTTGTCCCTTCATGGTGCACATGGATGGACAAAGGTTTCTAGTTTTGCGGTATCTCAATTTTATTTAAAACACCTTTCTCTGGTGCAGACTACCTGTTGATTTCATTTTGCCTTCCACACAGTTTGCGGTGCAGCTTTCACATCTGGATTAGAAGGCAGCCGCTGTTTCCATAAATGGCCCTGGTAGATAATAAAGTCTTTTATCTTTGCCTGTTTTTCAGTTATTTTCTGCCATGAATTTCAGCAACTTACTTATGATATGTTGTGGGAATTATTTTCATTTGTATATTTGTTTGGCAACTGTTCAATTATTAGATCCATGGGTTTACAGCTCATGGGAAATATTTTGCCATTTTCCCTTTGAATATTTTTTTCTGTCTTGTCATGTGTTTTCTGAGGTTTTTTTTGTTTTTTTGTTTTTTCTGGTACCAGGGATCGAACTCACAACTCACACTTAACAGGCAGGTGCTTATGCTGCTGAGCTAAATCCCCGGCCCTTTCCTAAGATTTTGGAAAAAAAAAAATCTAGGGCTAGTTGATGCTGTCTCATGAATCAGAGATGTGCTGTATTTTATTTTTAAAGTTCTCCTTCCATGATTTATTTTGGGTAGTTTCTATCATCATATTTTCAATATAAAAAGGAGTGATCTTTTTTCTTGCAGTGTCTGTTTGCAGGGAAGATCATGCAGTATATTTTTCCTCCTAGATATGTCTTCTCACCTCCTGTTCTGTATGCCTGGTCATTTTTGAAGAGAAGTTATGCTGTTGATGCTGGATTTTGTTGTATTCCTTGATAAATACTGTGCTTTGTTCTGCTACTTTTTTTTTTTTTTTTTTTTTTTTGTCTTTTTCATTTTAATCGGTACCTGGGATCGAACTCACGACTGCCTGCTTGCAAGGCAGGCACTTATGCCGCTGAGCTAAATCCCCAGCCCCTAAGTTACTTTTGAGATTTGCTTTTAGGCATTGCTGGAGCTGGGACAGAAGAGCAGGAAA